ACCCCTAACCTTATACCACACACAAATGTAAATTGAAGTGATCATGTACTTAAATGTAGAGGCAAAAACTGTGATTTCTAGAAAATTTCTTAGAACACCACACAAATTACAGAAGAAAAAAAAAAGAATTAGATCTCATTGAAATCTAAAATTTCAATTCCTCAGAAGATAAGGTTTAAAGAATGCAAAATAAACCACAGACTGAAGGGAAATGTTTGTAAAATACATATTAAACAACAACAACAACAACCTGAATTTGTAACTCTCAGAACTCAATAAACAGTTGAGCACCATGAAGTGAATCTTGGCAGGTTTCCTCAGATGGAGCAGGTATGAAGAAAATTACTTGCTAAAGAATCCTGGAAACACATGCGCGTCTTGGCCAGTTTGACATCCCCACCGCAGGAAAACCAGCATCTTCGGCTCTACTGTGTGGAACCTGTTACAACAGTGACACCGTGTGGCAGTGAGAGGCAAATGCAAACCAAAGAGGTTCTGGGAGCTGAGCGTTCTGGGGACCGAGACCTAGAATTGAAGGCAACGTCAAAGACTGGAGATTATGAATTTCTGCTTAGTCAATGAGTATTAAAAAATTAATTGGCAAACAATTAATTTAATTAATTAAATACAGCTATACTCGTACCTTGAGTGAGTGAAGCATTTTGTATTAGATGGTATTACCATGTGCTGCACTTAGTCGCTCATAGAGAGCACTGTATTTGATATTTGAACTGTATCTCTTCTGTTTAAACTTATGACAACTGGTATCAGTTTACTATTCCTACTGCTAAAAAATGATTACAAAGTTAGTGACTTATACAAGTTTATCTTACAGTTCCACAGGTCATTAAGTCTGACGTGGGTCTCCCTAGGCTAAAACCAAGCCTTTGGCAGAGATCTCTGTTCCTTTCTGCAGGCTCAAAGGAAGGATCCGTTTCCTCCTCCATTTGAGGAGAAGCAACATCCAGTTCCTTGCAGGTGTAGAACTGAGAACCCTGCTTCCTGGCTAACTGTCAGCTGGTGGCCATTCCCGGCATTGAGATGCTACCGACATTCTTTGGTTTATAGCTCTCTTCTTTCTTCTTGAAAGTCAGCAATAGCAGGTTGAGTTCACCTCTCAAAGAATTTCTCTGACCTAGTCTCCTATCCCTCTTTGAGAGGTAAACTCAACCTGCCATTGCTGACTTTCAAGAAGAAAGATTAGGTTCTAGGACTCTCACAGATAAACTTAGATAATTCGCCCATCTCTAGATCTTTAGCTTTGACCCTATCTGCCAAGTCCCTTTTGTCACGTAAGGTAATATATTCACAGGCCCTGGAGGTTAGGCTGTGCACATCTCTGCTGGGAGGACATCATCCTGCCTACCATAAACATACATCTTTCAAATATTTAAATGTCTAATCTTAAAAGTGTCTTTTCTACTGGAGACGAGGCAAACATTTTAGGACAGGATTTACCCAAGTCTTCCTAATGTTTCCTTCAGCCTGGTTCCTTATTCCCCTCCACATGCTGTGCTGTGCTAAGCTGCTTCGGTCACGTCTGACTCCAACCCCATGGACTGTAGCCCACCAGGCTTCTCTGTCCATGGGATTCTCCAGGTAAGAACACTAGGGTGGGTTGCCATGCCCTCCTCCAGGGGATCTTCCACATGCTGAGATGGAAGCCACGCCCCTTATGTCTCCTGCATTGTTCTTTACCCCCAGCGCCACCTGGGGCCTGTACTAAATTTAACTTGAGCTCAATGGTGGGGCTTCAACAAACCTGAAATAGTGTGCAAAATTTCACCTCTGTGCTTATTCTTCTGGAGAAAAGTTCAAGAGCTTAGATCAGATTCTCAAAGTACTCTTTGAAAGACCCCATAGAACAGAAATACAACTTTCACAAGAAAGTGTGAACTTAAATAAAAGTTTTATTCATAATAGCCAAAAATGTTGTCCAAATGGGATGCATCTAGAAAACATCATACTAAGTTAAAGTCACCAAGCACAAGATCCTATTTACGTGGAGGAGGTAAGTTAAATGATTGCAAAGGGGCACAAGGCATTCTCCTGGGTGATGAAATGTTATCTTGGTCACACAACTGCATCTATTTGTCAAACTTTGACTTGTACACTTAAAAATTTTATTGAATGTAAATTATAATTCATTAGCATATTTTAATATGTAAGATACATACTAGGTTATTAACATGGATTGGGAGGGATGAGATGGGGAAAAGAAAACCAGGTGAAAAGGTAAAAAGAAAACACCAATTAAAAAATAGGTACTTGATCTAATTTATGCATTTATGAAAAATTTTATGCATGAAGCTTCTTAGCTACCTGATACTGCAGTCCAATACTTGCATCCTTGGCAAGTTCAAATTTAGGGGTAGATGGAAACCTGATGGTGATGGCTTATGGCAGAGTAGGGCTTCCTTGATGGCTCAGCGGGTGAAGAAGCCTCCTACAATGCTGGAGACGTAGGAGATGCAGGTTCGATTCCTGGGTCGGGAAGATCCCCTGGAGAATATGGCAACCCACGCCAGTATTCTTGCCTGGGAAATTCCATGGACAGAGGAGCCTGGTGGGGTATAGTCCATGGGGTCACAGAGACTTGGAGGTAACTGGGCGACTAAACACACACAGGCGGTGAGGAAGTGGGACAGTGAGTTCAGCAAATCTAACAAAGGATTGGATAAATTGTGTAGTTTAAGCTTTGGAGTAACAATAGAGAATGAGAGGTGTGCTATAAGTCCTGTCACTGGCCTCAATATTTCCAAAAAATTAAGTCCCAGTACGTTTGTCTAAAATGATGTTTCTGAGGGGATTCACACACAAGGAACAGCAGCAGCTCTTTCGGCACCAGGTCACGTCAGCCTTTCCGGAAGCAGCCATTTCTGGCATGGCTGACTGTACCTCACACGTGACCCACACTGAGCAAACGGCCTGTGTCAGCAGACAGAAAACCTGCCTAGTCATAGAAACTCTAGCTTTCCTAGAAATCAGTCTGTGCCTCTGTGAAGTATCCAAATGTTGAGACCAAAATGGAAATACTTTTTGGTCTCAAAAGGTAAAACAGAAACAGCCAGTATTATGTTTTAAACATTAGTAATAAGGTATATGCACAAACCAAAAGGAAATCAACCCTGAATATTCATTGGAAGGACTGTTGCTGAACCTCCAATATTTTGGCCATCTGATAGGAAGAGCTGACTCATGGGCAAAGACCCTGATGCTGGGGAAAATTGAAGGGAAAAAGAGAAGGGGAGCGCAGAGGTCCAGACAGCTAGCAGAGAGCATCACTGACTCAACTGGCATGAATTTGAGCAAACTCCAGAACGTAGTGGAGGATAGGAGCCAGGCATGCAGCAGTCCATGGGGTGGCAGAGAGTTAAACATGGCTTAGTGATCGAACAAGAGCAATTCGTGCAGGATATGACACAAAACAGGTACTCAACCAGTGAGTTACATTAGTAACCCCCCGCCCAGAAAGAACTCAGAAACATACTCAGCAATCACAAAATAGCTGCTGAATGGATGGATAAAACTATGAACAAGTCAGTCGACTCCAAGTACCTGTCTATTTTTCCAGAATGAGCTTAAGTATTATCCTCTTGGGGAAGCCACCTTCATCCCAAGCTTCACATGTTTTCTCACTTAACAGTGCAGGTTTCCTACCAACAACAATGAAAGTAGCACAATTACAAATGTATTTCCCCTCCAAATGAAGAACAGACATATAACAGATGATTGCTAAAGAAATGAAGATGATCACATGGAAAGTGATTTCTGACCACTGACAATACTACAAAGAGGCAAAAAAACAGATTGAGGAATATTCCAGTTTATAAAACCTTTTATTTAAAAAATAAAATTATAAACAAAATACAGAAAAATATTGACACCTGTGATAACAAGGAAATGACTCCTAATCTTTAGGGCAGTTGTTATCCTGTAAGAGCAAAATCATGAGTTTCATAAAGAAATTTTATTGTCCAAAGGAGGAATGTACTTTTAAAGGTTCATTTGTAATATGTATTTGGCATTGACAAAAAAAAAAAATACACGTATTTCTACCTATACATTCAACATTCTGGAGCATATTTACATTCAAGTTACATTTCCAAATTCTATGCCAAATACAGTCTACCTCACCACCCCAAAACCCTAATAAGATAGTACTAAAATTCTGTCTATTTGGTAGGAGTTCAGTATGACCTTATTAGAAAATAATTTTATGTTCCAACTAGATCACATTTTAACTACTTCAACAAAAATCACTGGCCTGTTCTTCCCAGTTGAAGCCAAGCCCCTTCCAGAAAAATTAAACACAAACTAAAACTTGGGTAAAAATGAAGTTATAAAGTAATTTTTTTCCTTCTTCCTTAGAGATATTATTGAGCTTCCAATGAAAGGACACTGGCTCTGATAAACAGATTATACTTTTGCAGCAATTAGGATACAAGTCATAGAAGTTTAACTTCTTTTTCAAAGATGGCTAAAGCACCTTTCCCTTTTAGTGGTTACCAAATTCCTCAACAAAATGACACATTAATAAACTCACAGTTTTCTGAAAACTTTTCTCCATTTTCCCCATGCATTCCTCAAATCAGATTACTTATTAACAATTTGTTAATTTCTTAATTTTTATAAATTACACCAGGATAGCTAGCCTAATTTCCTGATAATTTAAATTACGGTTTTATTAAAATCAACATAAATTATAAATAGCTTGCATCTCTGCTACAGTTCTCAGAGAAATTTATCTGAACTTCCTGGGGAGTCGAGCCTCTATGAGGCCTGTCTAGCCTTGGTAAAAAAAAAAAAAAAAAAAGTCAAGATTTGAAAATTCTCATGCCTCCAAGTGATCCCATTCAAATCAAACATCCTCATATGGGATCAATTCTTTCTTCATTCTCTCATATTATTAAGTTCATTTTTTACGTCTAGTACGATAAATGAAAGACAAAGGAGACTGATGAATGACATTTAGTTGCACTCTTTCTTTCTAATTGACTTCAGGTTGTGACTTCTCCTCCAGGACATGAGGGCTGGCAATTGGCAGCAGGCTGCTGAGTAGACACCACTTCTAATTCAGATTCGCGAACAAAAACCACTGCATCACCACTGACGTTTATAAGACATTGTGCCTAAAAGAATAACAGGACATGTCAGTCACATTTCAGTAACACACCCATACTCTCCCGTTACCCTGGGGGCAGCGTTGTAGAGCAGAAACAAGCATACAGTCCAAGAAAAAAATGAGCAAAGGATAAGAAGGCAATGCATAGGAAAGGAAACAAAAAAATTCATTAATATAGTTATTTAATTTTTTAAAGGACCATCTTTAACAGTTGCAAGTGAATTATTATGTTAACAGAGCTGATAAGAGAAATCTGTTCTAAAATTTAACCTAAGCAACGCTCCCCTGTCCCCATTAACAGAATTATATTACTTATTAGAATTAACAGTGTGGCCCCATCAGGACATACTCTTCACCAGCAGGGCAGTCAGAAGTGGACAGCATCACAGCTCAAACCAGAGGGTGTCTTTAACTGTCCTCCATTAGCCATCACAGGATCCCAAAGACTACCCCCCAAGAAGGTGGTGGGAAAAGTAGTTTAGGAGCAAAACTTCCAGAGGTATTTCAGACTAATAACTTCGTCACTGGGGATGTGAAAATAGCACCTGACCTATGTATGACCAGTTACCAACATATTTACTAAAACATGTTTTCAGCCTCTGGAATCAAAGAGCTCTGAGGAGCAGTTCTCTTTTCTGGAGGAGGGTGGGAGAGGGAAAGGCCATGCGGGAAATTCGTAGGGTCTCCGCATCAGAGGTTTGAAGTCCACCTCACCTGGTTTTTGTTTGGATTCTCCATGAAGACACACTGCTTCATTATGTAGGAGACGACAGCGTTCCCTCCCAGCGCAGCGACGTGTGCCCGCACCATTGCAAACACTTCAGCGATGAAAGCGTGCAGAAAACCGCTGACTCCACCTTCCTAAGGATAATGCACAAGAAAACCAAACTATAGGCCTGCGTAAGTGAACTTATGTCATCAAAGAATATATGTGAAAACAATTTAAGTGATCTTACTATAATGGATGGCCATTTTAATTTCCTTCACCATGCAGATTTGTTGCATGAATGAAAAAACCTTTACCTAACACATGTCTACAACAGGGATTATTGTTGGTGTTCAGTCACTAAATTGTGTCATAATCCCAATAGGGACTACTATTTTCATTTTAGAGATGATGAAACTGAAGCTCATGTGACGCGCCCATGATGAAGGTGGAGCACAGAGCTAGTGGACAGATGGCAGAGCAAGAGTTCTAATTGTTCGTCCATTGTCAACACCTCCCTCCATGAAACCGTTCCCGTCATCATTCAAATAAACTGATGGTAAATATAAACAATGTGACTTCCCCGCTATCCGTATCTCCCACTGTGAAAATGAACCATGTTCCAAGTTGCACTCATCTTTTTCAGTTTCTTGAAGGTTTGACATCTTTTCCAGCCTCGGGGTCATTGTACATGAAGGGCCCACACCCAATTTTCCACCAGGGTAACTTGCATGTGACTTCTTCAGAGAAATCTCCCCTATCAGACCTAAATTACCTTCTCCTGTTAATATTCTCTGAGCGCCCTCATTGTATTTCTTTATATGACTTATTAAGAGCTATCTATTTACTCTATGATGATTATTTACTGTCCACTAAATTCCATCATGCCAGGACTGCATCTGCTATGCTCACAACTATATACACTAACATCTACTTCAACAGGTGCATGTATCCAGTGATCTATATGTATTTGTCATGCAAAGAAATCCAACAGTTTGGGGAACTTTTGCAGTGCTCAAAACCAAACAAGACAGATACCAAAGGCTAGCTAATAGCTTAAAATGCTTTACAATCTAAATTTTCCACAAATTTTACTGAAGGTTTTTTACAGCCTAGGAAGAAATGTCCAACTTTAAATTGGAAGGTAAGGGCAAAATTTAACACTGTTAGAAAAAGCATTTGTCTAGGTCACATTTTTCTGAAAAGTTACAGGATCCTACATAGAGTTTGTCATTAAAATCACAGTCCAGGACAGTCTTTTTTTCTACTTTTATCAGTTTTCCTCTTACATATCAAATCAAAACATTCTTAGAGTAACAGATACTACAGATGGGTAAATTCTAATATTACATAACTGAAAGCAAATAACTCAACAAGGAATGAACAAATTTCAGATATTATACTATATACAGGCTTCTCAGGCGGCACTAGTGGTCAAGAACCCGCCTGCCAAGGCAGGAGACAGAAGAGACGTGGGTTCAATCGCTGGGTCAGGAAGATCCCCTGTAGAGTATGGCAACCCACTCCAGTATTCTTTCCTTGAGAATCTCATGTTCAGGGGAGCCTGGTGGGCTACAGTCCATAGGGTTGCAAACAGCCAGACACAACTGAAGCAACTTAGCCCACATGTATGCATTCACTACATATTATACTATTAACTATACTATAGCTGATATTATAAACCTCTGTTGAAGGGAAATCTGTGAAGCAACATTTCAGGGAATGGTAGCTTCAGCAGTTGAAAAGACACTTTTGGAAAGAAAATTTTATGGATTCGACAGTATAATATCCATGTGCAACTGGAAAAGGTTAATTCACCAATCTATGCCAGCTTCTCAAACCCAAATTTCTTTGTCAAACTTCAATGGATTTAAAAGTGTTGCCTACTTTAATTCTACATTAAAAGGTTTTTGAGACTATCTTGAGATAGTTTCTTTTCCATCTCAACACAATTAGAATATGGTTGTAAAAATAATTTTTCTTAAAGGAAACATCTATCGAATTAATTAATCTGTCAGAAGTCACTCCCTCATTTACACAAAAACGGCTTGCGGTTACTCTCTATCAGGCACTATGCTAGGTGCAGAAGGGTGAGCCTGAGGTTAGTAAGCAGGCTGCTATTTCCAAGAAGGCATAGAAACACTGCTGGTGAAACAATGGGGGGAGGGGGGAACACAATTAAGTTGTGTTTATAATTAACACACTTTTTAAAAATACAAACTTCTGCTAAAGTAAATTTTGAAGAGTTTATTGGGTTTCACACTTAAATTAGTAAAAATTTTCCCTACTCACTATATTAATTTGCTTAGCAGCCCTGCTCAAGAAACATAAGACAGATAGAAATAAAATTTTTCCTCTGTAATGCAAGATATAATAGGCTGACTCTGACTCTTAATTCTGACCTCATCAAGCAAGAGATTATAACTGCTGTTATTTAAAAAACAAAAACAAATTAAAGTTTAATGATACCCAATGTGAGGTAAGAACTTGAACAAACAACATTTTCATGCACTGATGGCTAGAGAAGGAAATAAGCAGCCTCCTTCTCCTTTGTCAGGAGAAAATAACAGAACTAAATGATATAAAAAAATCTCCAAAGACATCTATTCAGCATACAGTCCCCTACTATTTCTTAATGTGAACTCTTAAAAATTGCCATTTAAATCCATCTCAGGCAAATACCTACTGAGAAACTAAGCTATTCTTTCAGGGCTGTTTTAAACCTCTGTCAAACATGGATACATTTATTTTTCTTTAATTTACCATGTGATAAGGATCTGTAACTTCTAATAACAAATGAATTTAAACCCAACACAACTCTTGCGATAATACTGAAAGTGAAAGTGAAGTCGCTCAGTCATGTCCAACTCTTTGCGACCCTGTGGACTATAGCCTACCAGGCTCCTCTGTCCATGGAATTTTCCAGGCAAGAATACTGGAGTGGGTTGCCATTTCCTTCTCCAGGGCATCTTCCTGACCCAGGAATTGAACCCGGGTCTCCTGCATTGCTGGCAGACACTTTTACCATCTGAGCCTAATCTTCAGCCAATCCAGACAGGTTATAGAAAAAAGTGTGTGTATGTGTGTTACTTTTGGAAAAACAACAAACAATTTGAAACATGTTTGGTTTTGATACTAATACTTTCAACCACAGAATATTCACAAACACAATGAAATAACAACTATAAATTTACCTCACGTAGAGAAGTGGTTTCCCGAATAAAAAACATATTAATTATCCCAAGATATTTTGTTATTTTTGCTCCAGGAATGAAAGAAAGAGGTGTCATCTTAACAACCCCAACGGTAGAATTTGCACAAGGTGGAGCAGAACGATTCCGAAAGTTTCCTTCACCCATTGGACTTGCTTTTTCAACTGTCACTGCTAAAATTGGAAAAAGAAGAGAAAGCATCAAGATCACATGTTGGTGACTCAATGATTCCCTAGTGTTTCCAAATAAGTGGTGACAACATTCAGCTGTCTGTGAGGCTAAGCCATGTCATGAAAGTAAAGAAATAATCATGCACTGCATGCAATTACAAATAGAGAGAGAGAAAGAAAAACGTAAGAGGAAATGCTGGAATGGAATCTTTGGGAAGAAAAAATGGCATTCCTGCAAAAGAAAATGTCGATGCGGTGCAGCTACACACACAATGATCGTTATAAAGTGAAGACAAAGAAAAAGCGGTAGAGCATTAAAAATTATCTGCTGTAGGAACAAATTATTACAAGAGTGTGAAAGTTGTTAAATTTCCCAGTGCAGTTTTTTCCATCTTTTTTTCAGACGACTTCATCATTATCAACTTGTAGATAAACCTTATCTTAACTAGTTGTAGCAGGTTTCTTTTCCAAACTTTCTCGACCAAAGTTGTAATTTAAAAAATTTAGCAAATGACCTTGGCTGTCTACAAGTTAATTGTTCATAAAATAACAAATACCTACTGCTTATCAAATAACTACCATGAACCAGACACACACACACACGTGTGTGTGTGTGTATAATTTTCACAACAACCCAGCAACATAGGTGGTATCATCCCCATTTAACACATGAGGAAACTAAGGCTCACAAAACTTAAATAACTTGCCAAGGTCACACAGCTACTAAAATGGCACTTCTAGGATTCAAAACCAGACCTGGGTGGTTCCACAGCCTGTGAGCTTCCGCCTAAACACAGTTCCTTGCCTTTAATGTGAACTCTTTCACTCAAATACATTTACCTCAAAGTCTACCAAAACACATGGAGTATAGATTAAAAAAAAAAATCTAAGTCCTGATGCTGAGTCTAGCAGTAAGATAAGAGTTGGCCACTTTCTCTCTGGAGATACGTTCTATTCTCACGCTACACATCACTCTTAGTAATCTGACAGATGCCATATACTACCGAGTACCTTGGGCCCTGCAAGAGTGTCTCTTCAATAAAAGCTCATTAATTTCCTTCCACTATGTGACATAATATCTATTTATATACTTCTAAGAATACCTTCACCAAAATAAAATACTAAAACCACAACCCTGCAGCTACAATTTAAACATCTAAAGGCCCTTCAAAAGCTTTTGCTAAATGACCATTAACATCCGCAGCTTTCACACTCCAACACATGACTGATTGGCAATGTTATTACTGAGTAGTCAGGGCCAGCCTTCACCACTGGGAAATCAGGGATATGCTTCTCAAATCACAATGTGGTAGAAACATCCGCCTACTTGTCTTAATTGATCCGCGCCTTATGGTCTGAGCTTTCAGTTTAATGAGCTCTATCCAGCTGCTGCATCTGTCTGCAAAGGAACTGTAATCAACTGACGTTGCTGAAAACACAGACAGAAAACAAAAGAAAAAAACAAAGAAAAAATATGGATGACGTCTCATACTCGTCACAACACTCCTCTCGATGATGTAATTTAACTGTCACTTAGGGGGAAAGGTGGTCCTTTTCAAGTCAGGTGAGAGAGATAGTAAAGAGTCAAGCTTTAGACACTGATTTGTCCAAAACCAAGTTGTTGGTTGGCTGAGCACCTCTGGTGATGTCAGAGCTGTGTGGTCTCTCAGGGGGAACAGAAGCGGGTGGGTCTACCCAGATCAAGGAAAGGGTCACATGCTACGTTTTAACTAACTTCTTTTCTTTCTTTTTATTTCACACTGTTTTTAGCTGTTTATACTTAGGACTTTAATTTATAATCAGAACTTTGGTGAATATTCCTTGCCCTATTTTTGCCCTGAAATAAAAATAAAAAAGAATGAGAATCAAATGTTAAAGAATACATGAAAAAAAATCACTAGTTAACTTATTTTTTGCAAAATATCTTCTTTCTACCAGTAGTAACAAGAAAGCCAAAGGGTCATTTTTATCAATATTCTATTTCCACATCTGATTTTGGCAACAAAGCTTCTATTAACATGGAGTGAGGATCAAGTGTAAGCCCAACAGGTTCTCCTTTTCAAAAGAATATCTTTTACTACTGTTGAGCTAAAAAATAATATTAAAAAGCTAAAGTCTTATCTTTAGAAACTGGAACACTATTAAAATGCTAGATGGCATAAATATTACTTCAATTATACAATCTAACTACAATAAAGCCACATTCTGGTGTCTATTCCATTGTCCAGTGCATTTCTTCAAAGTCTGTATGCTTATGCACCACCACACTAGAATTTCACACCTTTGGTGACTATTTGCTTAATTAGACAAACTCACCTCTCTGTGCAGCTGGGATACCTGAGTTAGAACTTGCACTCTCCAGGTGTTCTAGTAAGACAATACGAACAACATTAGCTTGGATGCTAAGTACAAGCCAGTATCTCTTTGCTCTTGGTTAATACTCTCTAAAAGCTAGATGAATAGGAGAAAATTTTTATGGCCTCATTATAAAAGCAAACCAAAGAGAAGTACTTAGGTTTAAAATGGCAGTTTCTATTGATATATGAAAACTAGCTCAGTTAAACACCATGCCAAGAAAGATTACTTGTTATTATAACACAAAGAAAGTTCCAGAACACTCTACATGTTAGAAAACATCAACACAGGAACAAATGTTAGTGGGAGGGAAGCAGGATGTGGGAAACCTGAACAGAGAAAAGGGTCAACGTACTGGGAAGAAAATCTGAAATGAAACAGGGAAGGTAAATGTTTGTGGGGGAAAAGCCAGTAAGATTAAGAGCCACAGACAAAGCAATGACCTGTGTCTCATAGATAAACACACACTATACATTAGTCCCACCCCACCCACCTCACCACCAATCCCCTCTTTCAAAGCTTTCACTTTCAACAGTTTCCTCTGAAACTGTCAAGACTTTATTGGAACTAAAAGGTGACTACTTTTCACAGAAATAACTAGGAATCCCAAACTAAAACCTCCTTTCTAGTAAGCTCACAAAAGCAACATCTTGAATTCTTCCTGAAAGTTTATATTTTTATAATAGATATTTAAGGAACTGTACAAATTCAAACAGCACATTAAAAAAAAAAAAAAAACTTCATCATCTATTTCTAATTTTCAGGCTCTACCCACACTAGCATATTTGAATTTTTGTTTCTAAGAATTTCATAACTGAGGATGCAGTGTTGCCAAGATAGAAATAACTCATAAAACACTAAGAATAATTTGGGTCAGCCAGTTTTTTTAAATTATAAACTAAATAAATAAGTAAATATATAATGTTTTTGTCTCTGCATCATATGTTGATTTTGGGGGTAATATTCTTAAATTTGTAAAAGGTGTCCTTTTCAAAAATCAAGATTTATACAGAATGTTTCTACCAACTGGGAAGCAATGACATATCTCCCGTCCCCACTCCATCTCTTTTTTCCTAAGGCTAGTGACCACCAGCTAACACTGGAGAGAGTACAATGGTCAACATTCCTCTTATGATACAGAGCTGTCCAATAAAAGGGATCACGAGAAGTTCCCAAAATGACTTGTGAGGGGATCACACTGGGTGTGCCCTGACCATCATGAAGTTCTTGAGGGACTGTCCTCCTTATTCGGGATCCTAAGGGGTACTGAAAGCCCAGGAGGAAGACCAAACAGAACTGACACTCAATTTCTAGCAACCGCTGGTCCAGTGCAGAGGCTGGGAAAGTAAATGGCCCACCCCAGGCTCACATATCCCAGGAGAGTTCCAGGACTCTCAGAGGTCCTGGGCAGTACAGCCTCACCGAGTATAAACACAGAAAATACAGTCAGCATTAGAGACCCTAGTTTTATCGTGTGGGGATGCAAAGAAGGGAGAGGAAGCTAAAAGAAAACATGAAAATGACTAAAATTATCCTCTATACCTTCATATTATCTTGGCAATATGGAATTCCCTGGTAGCAACTGTATATGAAATGTCCACAAAAAGAGCTTATACATGTAGAATCTGATCCCATCTTCAAATATGTCAAGTGTTAAAAAGTAAAGGTATACAATGATCTGTAGAATATCTGTGCTTTAAAAAAAATAAAAAAACGATAAACAGAACATCTTTGCAAAGAGAGACAATATAGCTGTTAAGAGCATTTGCCTCTTGGGAAGGAAAATGAAGGGAGAAGGGAGCTTTATTTTGGACAATGAGGTCTTTTTGTAGGATTTGAATTTTTTGTCACATACATTTACTACTTTCCCCAAAATATTTTACAAAAGGTGGAGAAGAAGAGAAACGAGAGGGAAAATATTTATTCCCAGCCTTCAAGTGGGAATGTGTCTGAATTAAAATCTGAAAAGAACACAGTTTTTAAATTGGAGACATGGAGGGAAAGAATGAGTCAGGAGACTTCCGACCTCGCTGAAGGAGAGCAGGTTCACCTTCTGCCATGTTTGCCAGATTTTCCTATCAGAGAATAGACCCAAGAGAAGCCAGTCCTGGCAGCAGCTGGACTTTGGCACTTCGGACTAGTCTGAACACCTCAAACATCTAATGACCTCAGGTTCTCTGCTTCCTTCTGATTACAGTTTGGCTTCCCAGGTAACAGCCTTTTCAAAAGAGAAGGTAGCGTAGACATTAGCTGTCTGGCTCACTGACAAAGCAGAAATTCTGGTTGTCTGTGTTAGTCGCTCAGTAGTGTCTGACTCTTTGTGACCCCATGGACTGTAGCCCACCAGGCTCCTCTGTCCACGGGATTCTCTACGGCAAGAAAACTGCAGTAGGTTGCCATCTCCTCCTCAGGGGATCTTCCCGACCCAGGGGTCGAACCCGCATCTCCTGTTTCCTGCGCTGCAGGCAGCTTCTCCACTGCTGAGCCTCGGGGAAGCCCCATGCAGTCTCTGCTGCTGCTGCTGCTATGTCGCTAAGCCAGTACTAAAAAAAAGACAACAGGTTTCATACTCAGAAGTAGAAATCTTTCTAAATGTCCTTGAGGCTTTGCTGGGGAGCCAATGCTCAGTTCTGGCCATTTGTACAACTCTGTGGAAGACTTTGAGACAAATGCTTCATATGTCAGGTCCCCACTGAAGCTGCAAGAAGAGTCTAAATCAAGCCACACAGAAACCCAGTTCTCTTACCATTTCCTTGCTCACTGAGTACAATTTTCTTTTCAAAAAATCTACTAAGTGATAGTGATAATCCCTCAAAAAAAAAAAAACAAAACAATGCTGGGAAATTAACGAGGCAAACAGAACAAATAGATACCCTACTTTCTAAGTATACTCTAGTGACTTTTAACAGGCCTTACCAGAGTGGGGAGGGGGATTAACCTAGATTAAAGTGGTTTAGTGGAAATGAGCCTACAGATGAAAAATAGAAAATCTAGCAAGAATTCTTCCTCCTTCAATTATACACCCGCCAGTGCTTCTTAAGTTTGAGATGCTTCCATTCTCCTAAACAATCTGTCACACCAATGACAAAGGGATGTACTAGCCATGATAAAGTCTTACACTGACTACTCTTCTGACAACTTACTTTCTATGATTAAAATTTACAGATCATCTTTGCTCTGAATAATTAAAAAACTCTTTGAGACAGTTTTTTCCTGTCACCCTAAGAAAATTACTAAAACTGAAAAAATTCCTGCAAACTCTGAAAAGATTCTCTGGCAGATAAAACTATAATATGCAATCTGGAGTCTCTAAACTATATTGCCTTATTTTCCTATTTAAACATGCTCAGTTTTAAACTATGATGATCAAAACTTCGTTTTATGTTCCTTTAAGCATTTCCATCAGTCTATAATGAACTGATCAGTATCTGGCTTAATGATTGAGCGAAACAAATGATGTATGTAAACATGCAGTATATACCTGGACCCTAATGGTCTTCAAACATTGGTGGTCTGATAATGAAATTAACATATTACAGTTAAAAATTATTAAAGCATGGAGAAAAATGTAAGTTGTTTGGATCTGGATATTTCACTAGGGGAAAGAAGTTCAACTAGAATACACAGATAATACATACAATAGATGACAAAAGACAATTAGTTGACCTATTTGAATCATTAAAACTTCCAGTTATAGGTGTACAATATCCTAACCCACTTGCTTTTCTTCTTCAGTCCCCATCATTCGCTCCTCTCACTACCATCCTTTATCTTTTTTCCCCAAATAATCCTGGTTTTTAGTCAGTAGCCCAATTCAACTTTCTTTGCTTTTCACTCCCTCGTTCCCTGACTCGCTTTTACTGCCCTCGAGCTGCCCTGAAGAAGCGAAGATTCTTTATCTCTACCCCTTCATCAACTCTTTGCTTCCTTCACATTTCTTAGGTGCAGTTTTCACATTTTCCACTCTTTATAGAGTTTCTGTTCATTCTCTTTCCCTCTGTATTTTTCTCCCTTCAGGATCCCCTGTTGATTGCCGTGGCCACCAGTAACAAGGACAATTTCGCATTTTCAATAGTTGCTACCATTTGGTCACGCGTGCTTAGCCTCTCAGTCACGTCCAACCCTGTAGCCTGCACGATACTTCTGTCCATGGGGATTCTCCAGGCAAGGATTCTGGAGTGGGTTGCCTTGCCCTCCCCCAGGGGATCTTCCCAACCCATGGGTCTAACCCAGGTCTCCTGCATGGCAGGCAGATTCTTTACCATCTGAGTCACCAGGGAAGCCCAAGAATACTGGAGTGGGCAGCCTCTCCCTTCTCCAGGGGAATCTTCCCGACCCAGGAATTGAACCGGGGTCTCCTGCGTTGCAGGTAGATTCTTCACCAGCTGAGCTACCAGGGAAGCCCACCATTTGGTCATAGTGACAAAATATATCTTAAAAAATAGAAAAAGCAGACATGCAATGAACTGTTAATATAAAAAAAATTTTAGTTAATACAAAGAGTTATGTATACTTGTAAGAATTCAGAACCATTAGTTGGTAGGAAAAACTAAAAGCTAATTTCTGTAATTCTTATAGATTTATATTTCTAATAACCAGTTTAAAATAATTTAAAGCAAGTCATTTAAGTTTAAAAAATTAAACTATATTTTAAAATCAAATTTGGTTTAACAAAAAAGTAAACTCCGACAGCCTACTGTAAAAATAAAGGAAAAAGGTTCCAATGTGGATACCTAATTATGGAGTACAATGCATTGAGGGGTGTAAGATTTCTTTCTTACTGAAATCCAGAATGTGACCTATGTTTGTCACATTAGTCAGCAACTGCTCAGTGAAAAGAGAACTCCTCCCTGCCTCTAGTTAATGCCACTGAACATGAGGGTACCACTCCAGCATAAAGCCAAGTGATGGCAGAAACAAGCGTGGGGAGTGGGGAGTAATAAAAAAATGTTTCCTCTATACAGTTTCATCCAACAGTGTACAAACACTAAAAGTGACTTAAGTAAACCCTTTTACAGCCTTAAATTCTCAGAATTTTAATGAAAACCATTATCCTATTACAGATTCAATTTATAAAGTATTTGATATCTATTCATATATATATATATATATAGTGGTATATGATTCACACACATTTGTCTAACATAAGTTCTTAAAGTCCCGCAATATGGTATCTAATATCTCAAGATTCAGGCCTTTAAATGTGCATCTACTAAAGCAATATGCTAATCTTTTAAGTAAAAAAATTATACACATAAAATTGTTGCGATTACTGTTCATGAGAAATATCTTACTGATTTTTAAACATCTTTTACCCTGATTAAATTTACTCAGATTCTCTATTTTTACTATATTTGCTCAATCTTTGTTCACTTTCACTTCATAAAATATATATGATTTTTAAATTCTCTTAAAAACCATTTCAGAGTGAAGTGACATATTTAAAAAATTGATATATAGATATTAATAAAGAGGGAAAATATTATGAAAGTACCATAAAAAATTTCCTATTGTTATCTTTTTTCTTATAACACAGCTTCATAAGAAAAAAAAGTAATTTATGGTGATGCCACATCATCTCTGTTCCTCACAGTATTCAAAGACTTTTGATGACCTTCACTTGATAATGTTCTTTAAGAAATTACTTTGGCTCAGCACTTTTTAATATTTCAAATCAGAAAAATCAAGATAACTAGCAAGGTAACACCAAATCAACCATAATTTGAGACATACATCAAAACTGTTTTGTTTACCTTGAGAAACAAAACTAAGTGTAACAAAAGATGGAAGGAAAAAAAAGCTGAACATGGATGGACAACTCAGGCCCAGGCTTACTCTACACAGTCAATTAGAATACATGAAATTGAAACATCTTCTCTTCAAAGAGTCACTCATTTTCAGTAACACAAAAAGATAAGGAAAGGTTTATCTACAAGTGAAAAGATGGAAGTATTAATAAACATACTGTGCACAGCTCTTGACACTACTCTGTCAACTAAAAAGAAATAAAAATTTTCATAAATCATCCCATTTGTGATAAGAACATGGAAAATAAATTATTCAAAGTTTTCAGAATTAAAACAGATAAATCTCAGTCAGCTTAGCTAACTGACCTAACTATAAAAACTATATATTTATTTACTTATCATATCAGTCGTCAATTTTTAAGCCTCTGGTTGCAGAAAGAAAGTAAAGTGTTTTTTTTTAACATTTATTCCCCACCCTCACCTTTCTATCTCCCACCTATTTCCTCTAAACAACTAAGCTTAACTGTTCCCAGATATTTCTGTTCTCTATTCAAAGCCTGCCTTCATGTTAAAATATTCAGCTACTACATTCATGATATAACACTCTATTATTACATGTTTCAGACCTTTCAAAAGCCATTCTATCCTCAAATTTTCTAAAATACTTGGAAATAATTTTTTCTAATGTATACAGCATAGCACACGTTCTCCTGGAGAGATGTCAGGAAGCAAAGACAATAAATAAGCATGCAACATAAACCACAATATACACGATTTTAAATAAAATACACAGATAAACTTTTTAGTGTTCACTGATGATTTTAAAATATAACATTCAAGGAAAGGCACATAGGTTTTACAGTTAAGTACTTAGTATTAAAAGTTTTATATATAAGTATTAGATGTGATGATATTATTAAGAAGCTGACAATGGTGACAACGATGATAACAAAGGCAGCAGGATCTGATTCAGTGATTTTCAAACTTTTTGAAACCCTTTCTTCTAACAAAACCACACAGAAAGCCAACAGAGAAGGCACAGGGAATCAAAACCGCTCTAGTTCAGAGGTAGGGGGGCCACACTACTCCCGACACCTTGCCTCTTGGAAGGCCACAAGGCACCTCTGAAGATATTCTATGGTTTGGAGGGACAGAGTTTAAAAATCATTGGTTTAACTGATTTGAAGCTATTTGGAAAATGAACTCAAAGAAGCTCAGTGTGACCTCAGGCATAATTTAGCTTTTATGTTTTTAGTAATAATTGAAGAACCATACACCATAGAAACTCAAAAAAATCCGAGAATTTAAAAGGCTTCTCCAGAATATTCATCTTTTCATGTTTTACAAATGAGGAACTGAGACTTCAGTGGCCTAACTGCAGATTAACTGGCCCAAATTCTCACAATTGACATCATTAGGAGCAGAACTGAGAAAAAAGCCAGGTCTCTTGCTTTATTAGTCCACTTTATGGCCCTTTCCCATGCTCCTTAAAATAAACTGCAAATATTTTAGGTATTGTTTAGATATAACTTATTCTACTCAAATTCTTCTTTGTTTTTCAGTTCACAGATTTTCATTTGTGCAAAACATACTAATTACTACAAAAAGCATTAGTTTTAATTACCTTTGAAAACATTTTGAAAGCTATTACAGAAACTGTAAATTATCATAGACATGGCTAATTTACAGAGTTTAAATTTAATCTTCCGCAGAATTCAGTAGCTATTAACAACATGGTAAAATAGAGCTGACAGGGACCTCAACTCCACAAATAAATATTTTTATAGATTAGCAACTGATCAAACCTTATTGCTGATTGGGTTATTGGTTTTAGTTGCCCCCTCCTCACCACTGCTAGGTAAGGATAAACTAAGTGAAAACTAAAAGTAGTTTGAAACTAACCCTGTGTTAAATGTAAGTTTCTATAGAAAGCAGGTGTTTAAAAAAAAAATCTTATCTAGTCAGTTCAAGGAAGATTCTAGACTGTTCTGCTTTTTGTTCTAAAAGCTATATTTAAATTATAAATCTGAACTCAGTATCTTTGGATTTATCCCCTCCCCCCCTTTTTTTTAAAGAAATCCTCTATGGAATTCTAAATGAGAATTTTAATTTGGATAAAAAGGAAAAAGAACCACATGGCAACCATGTTAGAAAGTTCCGTATCTGAAAGTACCTTAACCTTTTCAGCTCCAAAATATGAGTCAAGATCTATTTATCTTCATAAACTCTGAACTGATTTAGTAAAGACTCTACTGATACATACACAATGTGAATTTAAAGCTATTCTGTATTATAACTTACTTGGTAACGGATAAAGTAACTGACAAGTAGAAACCATATGTCACTCGCATTATAAAATGTAAACATTAGAAAGGCATCTGATTTTAAATAATGAATGCATCATTTCTCAGATTAAGAAATTTAGGGAAAAACACAAACATTTATTGTGTATAAACTGCTCTAAGATAAGGTACAGTAATTCTGAAATTTTTATAAGAATTGCATTGAAATCACAAGAGAAATGGAAAAAACCACCTCCCACTTTTCTCCAAAGATTGTACAGGTGTAAGTAGGCCTACTGCTATTGAATTAAGGAATAATCATTTTGCATTTGAAAAAATGTTCCTCAAATATAACACACCTGAAAGACAGAAAGCTCATCCCTTTCTCACTTATACTAATCCTTGCCCAAAACCTCTCTATAGATTCTGTAGAAAATAAGTATTTTGTTGTCTAAGAAAATCTAAAAATTTCTGCAAAGGTTACAATGTTGCTGGAAAAAGTTCACCAGATAAAAATATCAAAAATATCATATGTGAACAGTTAACTTTGGGAAATCCAAATCTCTGAAAATAAAACTTTAATATATTTGAGGTATTAGAACAGAATTATCATATGAAAAATTACCTTAATAAGTTATGATGAGATTACTAGAGAAATTAATTAAAATGAAAGCAACAGTACTCTCTCCCTGTTATGAACATGAAGAAACATACAATGCAAGAATGAAGAACAAATCTCCATTTCAAAATTAAGTTAAGATCACCTACAATCAAGAAACAAGTGAAAGTATCTAGACACTAGTATTTGTGCTTGCATTTCTCTTGCTTAACCAACCTTTAGCTGGTGGAAAAGGATGAGAAGGAAGTGAATCTGAACAGAGTTCCAGGGGAAACTGCAGAAGTTCTTCATTATCTGTAGAGGCTTGAGAAGCAAGAAAAATATAAATTACTACATAATGATCTCTCATTAATTTTTTAAAAATTAAGAATCTGGGATAATATACGTATTTTCTCCCAATTCAATTTATTCTGGTTATTTTCTCCTTGCTTTCTACCTTCACCTGCAGACACTGAGAGTGGCTATCTTTCCAGGAGGGACTGTTGGGAGATTTAGAAAGGATGATACATATAAACCACTTAGCAACAGTGCCTTGCAAAGAATAAGCACTCACTAGTAATTATTATTATCCTACTCTTGTATTGATACTATACTAGTTCTGTGATACTTAAACCAGTTATTGCCTATTTTCTTTGATAAATATCTGAACACATCATCATATAACACATCTCTCAACCTGACATTAAATCAATACTATACAGGTGTAATATATTCAACTTAAAATATTTTAGATATTTATTTAACCAGCAAGTCATTAAACCTCAGAAAGTTTCTCTTTTTTTTCAGAGCCTCTAAATTGCTGCAGAATTAATGATACAGTCTAAGTCTAAAAAACAGCCACATTTCCTGCGTAAACAGTGGCGAACCACCTATTCCATGTGTGGAAAAAAAAAAAAAAGCCAGTCATACGCTTACCCATACAGTTATCCTGATAAAGAAAACAGGAAAAGTGACAGTATCTTGTCAAAAAACATATCATTTAGTTAGTCACCTATCCTCTACATGTTTTCACTGAACTATAAAATAGACAAATGTATTTTTTCACTGAACCATGCTCCCATCTACCACAGGTTTACCTCTTTGCAATAACTTCTCAGCATGTGTTTTTGTAGTCTGTAAAGCCTGATTTTTGTCAAAGGTTATTGCAACTGCTGTGACTGTAACCTAGAATCACAGAAACAATATGATTAGTGAAGTAATCATTCCCAAAATAATCTTCTCATAAATCTTTCTCACTACCATGGAACAACTTATACAAACCGGCTAATTTGCCTTTAATGGTTAAAATTCTTAACCGGAACTGCACATAAACTCAGGTATTCAGACTACAACTAAGCCCAACATGTACACCTAAACCTAGGTATTCCAGAAAAAGCTCAAGAAGCTTCCCTAAAAGACGGAGACTGCAGAAGTCACACCGAGGCAGAACTCACAGTGGGGATTATGCGGGAACATACATGTGATTCCACCTTTAACTAGAGTTCACAAAAGTAAAACCGACAGACAAGATCTGACTCATAGTAACATATTTAAAAATGTTTTGAAATAAAGCAGCTTATACTTCTCAATTATGGCAAACATATAATATTAAAACAGATCAAAGAAATCTTTTTTAATAATAGACTAAACCTTAATTACCTGAATTAATTCATCTTCAGGGAGAGAGACTGTAAAATTGACATGGCAAAGGCAGCAGGGGATCATAGACCGTAGTTTAAAATACAGGCTCTACACAGAAGAAAATATTAGTAATATTACTTATTTTAATTTAAAAATTTATAAAAAATGATTTTTAATGCATATTTTACTGTGGCAAATAAAATTGAAAAGATCAAAACATTTCTGTTTTATCTATTCTTTCATTAAGAATACAGTTTGGGGGGGGGAACACATGTATACCCATGGCTGATTCATGTTGATATAAAGCAAAAACCATCACGATATTGTAAAGCAATTATCTTCCAATTAAAATAAATTAATTAAAAAATAAAAATTAAAAATGGAGATTTTAAAAAATTAAAAAATGAATACAGTTTTAATATCTAAGCAGACAATAAGATTTAGTCATGTTTCCAAGTCATAAAAACATAAGAAAGAGGGGTTTTTAAAATTTATAAATACAGATTTTCATGCACTTTAAAGTTATGAAATAACTCAAAATATATACTTTTTATACTGGGGCATATTAGAACGGAGAGGACAACTTTGGCATTTTACTTGGTGGCAGGTTAAGATTGACAAATAAACAAAAATAATTCCCCCTACCACTGTGCGAGGTATTCCAGACAACATAAGCAGTTTTCTTTTTAAATCTCATGATCCTTAGGCGTTTTAACTAAAGAATAGTTAGTCAGAAGGTTCCTACCTTAAGCAAGTTTTCACAGAGATCATTAAAGTTCTTATTAAGGGCTTGATTAGTCAGGTTAAGGCTGCTTAATCGGATTACTCTTACTGATGTAAACATCTAAATATGGGAAGATATAATGGCATGTCATTTCATTATTTTTAACTATATACTGTCACAGAAAATAAAATAAACTACCATACTACTACTATAATAATTATTTTCTAAAAAGATAAGATTTAATTGCAATAAGGAGGCAAAAAGAAGACACATGTTAAGAAAGAACTTGCCAAAATCATACATGCTATATTTGCTTAAAATTAAGAATAAAAGGCTTACCTGTATTTCAGATGTCCAATTATTTATACCAGGCATAATTTCTGTATTACAACTATAAAAGCCTGTCAAAATAAATTACAATTAAAACTTATGATACTATTTATTCTTGTTGTTAAAGGATAACATATTTCAACTATTACATGAAGTCCTAACTGTAAAATCTACTCATTCTTTTTTTCTAAAACTCTATACCTCTGGGAAACTTTAGACCACGTTAATAAATTAGCACGGTTTTGGGGGGTAATGATAAACATGCTGCTAAGTCACTTCAGTTGTGTCCAACTCTGTGCGACCCCATAGACGGCAGCCCACCAGGCTTCCCCGTCCACAGGATTCTCCAGGCAAGAACACTGGAGTAGGTTGCCATTATAAAAGGATTAAAAATCAGTTCACCTAAGTTCTAATGTAAATATTTTTAAACACTGTGTTTTCAATCCTGGGGTAGCAAAGAACATGACAGAATTTAACACTGATAAAGCCTTTAAAGTTAGTGCTATAATAATTATGAACTGAAATACTAATATGCAAAACTAGTCTCCTCTCAGGTAATTTTTCTCTATTTACCTGAAGGAGGTGGGACATCAGTGAGGAGAGAATGTACATCTTCCATAGCATCTGTGTCATCAATCTGAAAAGGAAAAAAATTAAACCTATCACATAAATAATAAATATATAGTTATTTCAAATTCTTAAGATTATTTTTATCATTTATTAAATAGAAAACATAAAGAGTCAAGGAAAAGTAGAGCCATTTTCCCCTAGGTTAAAGCATAAAATTTGAAAAAACTTTTCTAGAATCTATAAACTTTACTGCAATAATAATTATAAATACTTCTAAATGAAATATCTTACATTACAAAGTATATTGGGTTAAAAGAAAATCAAGCCTTTTCTCAAGTCTTTTTGAGGGCATGTTTCAAAAGATTTACAAAGATAACATAAACAATCATTACCTCTTTTAAACTAATAAAGTGTAACTTTAAAAAATCTTTTGGCTAAAATGGAACTTCTTTAAAATAGAATTACATAGGGATAAATTTAAAGGTATGTCTTCAAAGAATAAGTACAAATTTCATTTTTCTTATGTCTCAACATTCTGTTGTGAATTATAAATAATGAACATATCCAACTGGACATATATTGACATTCATCTGTACACTGGGGGGTCTAAGTCCTATCTCATACCCTTGAGATGTCAAGAACCACTTTCACTTACACTTTGCTTCAGTTACCCAGTCACGGCCATACCTCAACTGTGGTATTCCCCAAAACATTTCACACCAAGATCTCAAGCACTCTCCAAACACAACCCCTGTGTCTCTCTGTCCCTTCTTTTACTGAATCTACACCTTGCCCTCTTGTCCACACTTGAAGCACTTCCATTCTCCAATGAGCTAGGATCCCAGGATCAGAAGTATCAAAAACGCTCTGCATCAAGGTTTAAGTAATGCTAAGAATCATCTGGAGGGTTTGTGAAACAGATTCCTGGGCTCCCCCTTGAAATAGTCATGTACGAGGTCTGAAGTAGGGGCCCCAGGGCCTGAATTTCTTACAAACTCCCAGCTGGTGCGATGCCACATCACAGGACACTGCATAGCACCGCTCTAAACAGAACCCTAGAGCTTATTACTTCTTAATCTTTTACTGACCTACACTTTTTTTTTTTTCCGTTCTCAGACCATAGAAATTATGAGAAAAGCGTACAAAGTCATATAGTTTGAGTTTTCTACAAGGTAACACTCTCGTCTCAGTTGAGCCTTGAGCATCTTCTACAGCTGACATTCTGATCATTCACAGGCACTGTTCTAGACTCTTCAAGCCTCCGATCCCAACCCAGTTCAATTCTACTATCACCTTCCTGCTTTACTGAGATGCAGATGTCGGATTTTTTCTCTCAACTGTCACCTTACCAGGAAACATTTCTCAGTATCCTCATTTGTTTTCCTTTCCTTCAGGATCAAAGAAAGATCATCAACCCTTTTAAAGCTAAGTATTCTACAGGGAAGTGCCTGGGAAGCAGATCTGTGAAAGCAAAGGTTCCATAAACCTTTCATGTCACATTTATTCTCCAGGAAAGTCAGTTCTGAATGTATTTTTACAATGAAAGATCGATTACATATTCTGAACTCAGTAAGAAAACACTACAGTGCTTATATTATTATGTTACATGTAAAAATGTTACACTAACATTATAACCTATAAAGTAGGTAAGAACTATAGTAAGTGAAGGAATAGAACCTTATTTAAATTAATTCAAATTTACAAAAATAGCTCCAAAAGTTTAATATTTTTATTCCAACCCCAACATTAATTCTTCTCAAACCATCTACATTATTTTATCAGTCATCTGGTGTTAAACAAAAGATATGTTACCAAGTCCTGATATCTTCAAATCTGTTGTAATTTCTGTAAGAAAACATTCTTTTGACATTTATAACAGTTGTAATGATTTTAAAAATCTCACCAATTTAGGATCTGATTGTAAAAATACGTATCTCATCGTCCAAAAACTTTTAGAAATTATTTCAGTGCAATAATACCTCCAAAACAAAGGCATCTTTTTTCCCATGTGAAAGGTCCAATTCGGTAACTTCATCAGAGCTTTCTGACTGAGATCTCAAAAGTCGTGAGCGTTGTCTAGGTTCTGGAATGGGGGATCCTATAATCTCTTCAGATATCTCCTAAAAGAAATATAATTGCTTTATATCATATCTTTTCCTGAAGGGAGCTTCAATTGACATGTAACAGCAGTTTCCGGTGTTCAATACAATGATTTGATATTTGCATGCTTCAGTCTGGTTTTAAATTTGCATATTAATAGAAAACTATGGGGGGATCTGTAAAATGTATTCATAGTCTATATTTAATCATAATCTTTAGGAATAATTAAACTTTTATAGACTACATGGCTATCTCTTTTAGTCAGACACAATTTAGGGACTATGCCACCACCACCTTGATACAAGAATCCAGAAACAGACACAGCGAGGCAACACTGACACCTAGTGTACAGAGAGGACACTGCAGGGAACTGGCAGTTTTTCCACCTCACAGCGTTTTCTGCTTGACATTTGCGAGTCCTAAACAATACATACAGAATTAAAGATTATGTACCCAAATAACGTTCTTATCTTTTATATCTTATGCAGTGGCAATTCTTCAAAGCCCCAAATAGTAAAATGTGGTATATAACATACGTATCTATGTTTGTGTTTGTACACATAATACATACATTATACATGTATTTGCTATGCAACTTATTAAGCTAAATAAATTCTAACAGTTACAATGATCTTTTTAAGGTAAATGTATGCTGCAATCTTATATGGGTTTGTAAGTTTTACCTATTTTATAGCCAAAGATTGCAGCTAACTAGAGGTTCTAAATAGCTGCTGGCCACAAGGATATCAACAGAAAGTGGGTATGTGAACACAAATGTAAAAGACAAAGCCTGCTGTTAGTATAACAGAGCTATCTTTAAAAAAAAAAAAAAAAAAAAACAAGGAAATTATTTTTAAAAAGGTTTTTCCAAACTGTTTTCAACATTCTCTGCTAGTGCACACCTTACATAAGACTGCCACCGCAGTTTCCTAACTCAGCTACTCTGAAGCACCTTCAAAGGCTTACTTGCTTTCCATATTTACACCTTACTTGCTTTCCATATTTAATCTGCCCTACATAAATCTGACAGGGTGCCTGTTACAGTGACTACAAAATGAGAAAGAAAAGACCCTGCATTTTTTAGTATCTTTGCCATAGATAAGCAATCTTTCTTTATACTAAATAAAGAAAATTTTAAGCCATTTATTTGGTTACTCAACAAGGACTTATCTGTCAGGAGGCTACTACTAGGAGGAACTGGTCAAGCCATTAGGAATACAGCCCTGACACAGCTTCATTCTACTAAGAGCATCAAGGCAAGTAAGTGAAAGTCACTTAGTCATGTCCGAGTCTTTGTGACCCCATGGACTATACAGTCCTTGGAATTCTCTAGGCTAGAATACTAGAGTGGGTAGCCTTTCCCTTCTCCAGGGGATTTTCCCAACCCAGGGATCGAACCCAGGTCTCCCACAGTGCAGGCAGATTCTTTACCAGCTGAACCACAAGGGAAGCCCAAGAATACTGGAGTGGGTAGCCTATCGTTATGTAGTAGATCTTCCTGACCCATGAATCAAACCAGGGTCTCCTGCATTGCAGGCAGATTCTTTACCAACTGAGCTATCACGGAAGCCCGGGAGCATCAAGCAATACACAAAAACATACTTCACACATAAAGACACACAAAAATAAGAGAAATGGAAAACAATAAAACATGGAAGGGAGATAGGAAGTACCAAAAACTGATGGGAGTTACTATTTTTTAAATAGGGTGTTCGGAGTTGGCTTGCCTAAAAAATAAAGACATCTGAGCATGGATATAAAGGAAGGAGAAAGAATGAGTAACAGGCACAGCAAATTTAGACAGTGTAGAAAAATATCCTTAAAAGAATCTAGAAATACACTAACATGTAAATGTGTATTCACAATGGAGATTTATTTCACTTACCGGAGGATTGATTTCATACAACTCTTTATTCTTAGCAATCGTGTCATTTATCTTCTTCTGCATATGAGATATATGCTGCTCATATGAGCCATCATTAGGAGTCTTTCCAGCAATCTGAATACCACCAGGAGCTGGTAAAGCTGCTAAATACACACCTGTGGCCGACTGGTAAAAATAATGGGGGAATAATGAGAAAAAAAGAATATCTAAACCATAACAGTCCTTCAGTATTCATATTCAGAAGAATGGTCCTTGTCCTGTAGGAAGAAGATAATTAGCACCAGTGTTTGCACAGGACACATGTAAGAGGACATAGAAACACAGACCTGGTGGCGCAGTGGTTGGTTACTCCCAGTGAGAACCCTGGGTAGGTCAGACAGTAGTGAAAGGTCAATTTCCTTGGCTCTGCATAACCTACTGTACTTTAAAGTTTTTCCTCGTGACTGTAAAAAATAATGCGCACAGAAAGAAATAGCTCAGGAAAATATGATTGAAAATTGTAATAAAGTAAGTATCTCATGAACGGGTAGTTTATCTTTAAAGTGGCAAAAGTAACAAGGAAACTTATGCAAAGCAAGTAAAGAAACTGAAGTTCAGAAAGGATAGGAAGCTTACTCAAGATCACACTATCAATAAATGTGGAGAAGAGATGTGAATGTGTTTCAAACTCTTAAAACCAAGAACTTTCCACTATATCACTCTAACTTCATAGTCACCAAGAAAGAACCTGATACAGATTTATTTTAAATATTTAATTAAATACTAAATTCTGACTTTGTAACAGTACTGCATGTCATTAGTACTAAAAACCTACTAGGGGAAATACAAAACAAGATAAAACATGCACACATATGTGCTTTATGTTTAAATGTGTTTCTGTAAGGAAAGAAAGCAAAAAAATGTATAAAAGTACACACAGCAAATTGTTAATATCAAAGGACTAGAATGGAGAAAAGAGAAGACAATTCTTTTAACTCTGGATAGTTGCATAAATTCTAAGAGTTGTTGTTGTTACTAAAATTTTTGAACAACTGCCAATTTTGTTAAAGTCCATCCTGGAAAGCGTGTGGTGCTCTATGAAGTCTGGTCCCCAGAAGTTCTTTCTCCTGGTCTGTTCACATGACTGGACCCACAACCCAGTCTCCGATGCTCAAGCTTAGAATGCCTTCCGCACCATATGCAGCCTTAGTGCACCATCTCTTAACAGTTTCCTAACTGCATTCACTAATGAGGCAACAGCTCAGAATGGCTGAGAACACAACTCTGGAACTAGACAGGCCTGCATTTGAAACTGAGTTCTGGTATGTGCAACCACATCACTTTGGAGACGTCTCAGTCTATAATGGCATCTCTCTTCTCTTGTAAAGTTAAGATAATGTCACATTCCTTCCAGAGCAGTGCAGTGCCAGATACCCAGGAGACACTCATCAGAGATTACCTATTGTGAAAGCTACTCTTGGGACCCTGAGATTCAGGTGTACAGACTAAAAAAGTCTCCAACAGTTACAATGAGTGTCCCTAGTGATCAAGAAGAAAAGATCAGTAAGAATCAGAAAAGGCAGTATTTGAGGCAGGAATGAAGAACTATACCTGGGTCACAAACTAGTTTCCTGGGGCTCAACCATCAGAAGTACTTTCTGCAATTGGCACACTGTTCTTTAAACTTTAGAATCCAACCAAGCTCTTAGTCCCCGAGACACCCACCAATCACTGCAGTTCTATATTCAGCCCAACTACACTTTTAAGTTATGTCCTCGCTAAGCATGAGTTTTTAGATGGGTCATTGAAATATCAAATATTTTAATATGAATCCAACTGCTTTTATTATCACTATAAATTTCACTTGTTTTAAAAAAGTGAAATTTCCTAATTAATCACTGTCACAATTATCACCTACACATGGAAATTTGCATATTTGCTCTTATAGAAAGAACAGATGAAGCAGGAAATAATTTAGCATTTTAATCTACAAATGCATACAGAGAAAAAGAATCCAAGCTTCATAAATTTCTTAAAATTAAATGTCTACGCATGTCTCCAAGAAGACAAAAAATTCCAGTCTGAAAAGTACTGGTGACGCAGACAAAAATTCTGGCCGGCAAAGTGTCGAGAATATGAGAGCACTGCCATAAATATTTTGCAGACATCTAGTTCTCTGGGTCTCAGGCTACTTATAAAAGCAGTTCTCACTTTCCCCACTGATAATGTTTTGTGTGTGTGTGTGTGTGTGAGCAGCTCAGTCATATCCAACTCTGCAACCCCATGGACTATAGCCCGCCAGGCTCTTCTGTCCATGGGATTCTCCAGGCAAGAATACTGAAGTGGGTAGCTATCCCCATCTCCAGGGGATCTTCCTGACCCAGGGGTCAAACCTGGGTTTCCTACACTGCAAGCAGATTATTTACCACTGAGTCACCAAGGAAGTCCCTGTCAGAACTTACTTTCTAATGCATCAAGATTCACATGAAGCCAAGACAAAGAGCTTTTCACTGCCTCACAATTTACTGGCACTTCAGAAACACACAATTTTACAGTATACTCTGCTGCTGACCACTGGTGCATGTGTCTCAGATGTATTGATTTTCTCCATTAAAAAAAGAGATTCTTTTAGCACAGTGGTCCTCCCTGCTAAGGAGTGGTTCTGTCCCCTAAGGGACACCTGGTGATGACTGGGGATGGTTTGGGTTGTCAGTTGTCACACTGTATGGGAGGCTATTAGCATCTAGTGGACAAAAGCCAGGGATGCTGCCAAACATCCCAAAATGAATAAGACAGCCCCATATAACAGAGTTATACAGCCCCAAATGTTAACAATGCTGAGAAGGAAAAACCCTGTGTTAGCAATGTATAAACAATAATAAAGTCCAGACAATGGTGGCCAACTTACAAAATAAGGTCTACATGGTAATTCTTAGAAATGTGACTATATGAATTATAATCTGAATACAAAAATAGAATAACATAAACATAAATTTATATAATAGTTTATTAATTTAATTTCAAATAATAATTTCATAAAGAAATATAAAAGTATGTGAAAGTCTATACTGGATTTCTTTTCTTCTTATAATGTCTCTAGCCCTTAGAAGTCTTAATGCCAATTTTTTAGCTAAGTCTTCTTAAAAGACTCTTTGAATCACATAAAACAGAATCTACAACTACATGAATCACAAAACAAAAATAAAACATCTTGAAACTTACCGCTAAGCCCATCAACATATTTTCTCCCACTGTGATCTGAATTCTCAGTCCAAATAAAGCATTCATTGCTTTGAGCTTTAGTTTATTCATTAGCTGAGTATGCACTTCATATTCCATAAATGGCAAGAGATTACTGATGGCTGTGGCATTTGCTTCTGCCTGTGCCTTCTTTTTTAAGCGACACAACCTATTAAGGAAAATAATGTAGTCAGTGGACAGTGTTCCTGATACCATCTTAAGCAATATCCAATTTTTAAAACTTCCTAAAAATGTGCTTGATGAAAAACATTTACTTGTTTCAGATGGGCTTATTACGTTTTATCAATAATCCTTTCTGCCATTTTTTCACCATATACACTTTTGCTAAAAGTCCCATTTCGATAAACAAAAGGAAAAAAACTCTCAAAATTTCTAGAAATGAAACAAATAGTAATCAAAATCATCACAGAATATAATTTTAAATCTTAGGTTTCATAACTCCACATGATCATATAATGGGTGGACAACAGAGAAAAAAACTTAATTTACTCATTAAAAGAATATAAAACTTGAGTATCTACCATGTGCCAGGCACTATTCTACATGGTAAGCAATGATCAAGGAATAAAACACAGACCCCCTGCTGATGACTGTATTCCAGGGGAGGAGTAATAAAACAAGACAAAGAAACAAAGCAACTGCAGACAATGCCTAAGAATCAGGTGTGTGCAGAAAATCAACCAGGTGAAGAAAGAATAATTGGACAGAGGCTTCAGAGCAGAGATAACACCTGAGCCAGGATCTTAAAGACAAGATGGAATTGGGACTGCTGGAGAAAGACACTGGTGGCATGAAGCTGGCATAATAAAAGAACCAAAAGGAGACCATTGTAGCTCAAGTGAAGTGAGCAAGGGTGAGGGCAGCACAGAGGAGGATTCAGTTAAGCATGGGCATGAATGTGTCAGGATTGGTCATGGTGAGGAGTTTGATTTTATTCTACCAGCAATGGAAACCCCAGATAGATTTTAAGAAGTAACATGACCTAATGTATATTTTAGGACATCATTTATACTGCTACACAGAGAATGGTACAAAGAGAACTGATGTAGGGATGGTGAACAAGAGCTACTTAGGTGACAGACAACAAAAGCTAGGACTAAAAAGTTGACTAAAAAGATTAAGAGAAGATCCCCAAACTGGTAAGCCAGGCTGCTCAGGCCAGTAGTTTTCAAATACAGGCTTGCATCACAACCACCCAGAGGGCTTGTTGAAAAAACAATTGCTGGGCTCCATCCCAAGGGTTTCTGAGTCAACAGTTCTGGCACAGAGCCTCAATTTGCATTTCTATACATTTCCCGGGGATGGTGATGCTATTGGTCTAAGGGCCACACTCTGAGAACTGTCGAAGAAGACTACCTAAAACAAGGAAAAAAGAAAAAAACAAAACTGGATAAACTATGTACTTTTAAATATCTTCCTAAAAGTATCACAGGATCAGGGCAAGGGGCAATACAGGGTATAAATATAAGTGGGTAGTATAAGGAAGTTCTTTTGTGGTGGTGAACAGCTGTATATCTTGACTGTGACGGTGGTTTACACAATCTATTTGTTGGATAAAACTGCACAGACATATACACACACACACACACACAAATCCTTAAATGAATGCAAGTATTCAAAATGTAAAACTGACTCGGGTTTGGAGCATAGTTAAAACCATTGTAACAGTGTCAATATCCTAGCTGATACCCTACTACAGCTGTGTAAGATGTCACCAATCGGGGAAGCTAGGTGAAGGGCACACAGGGCTTTGTACAATACTTGCCAAAGCAAGTAAAACACAATGAACAATAACCAGCAGAAACAACAGGAAAAAAATTTTTTTAGATATTAAAATCATCAGTTACAGAATCAAACACAGACTATAGTATGTGGTATTAGATTTGAAAAAGAATAAAATACAACTTCTGGATATAAAAAATCAAAAATTTTAAACAGAATTATTACGCATAACAGCACATTAAAGACAGCTGAAGACAAAACTAAAGAACTGAAAGATAAGAAAATATCCAAAATATAACATAAAGAAATAAAAAGATTAAAAATATAAACAAGAAAGTAACAGACATAGAGGAGGCAGTCAGAAAGTGTCACATACTTTAACTGGAATATCAAGACGAGAGAACAGATGAATCACAAAACTAACCTAAAATTTTTTAAAACACATGACAGATACCAATCTATAAATTCAAAATGTCCAAGGTGTAACAACTAGGATAAAGAGAACTCCATACCTAACACTCTACAGGGAAACTGAAGAAAACCAAAGACAAATAAAATAGCTTGCACACAGCCTGAGGGAAAAAAATAGACAAACTTCAAAAGAAGAACAGTTAGTCTAATAGGTTATTTCTCAACAGTTGCAATGAAGGCCAGAAGGCAGTGGAAGAGTATCTTCAATGTGCTTAAAGAAAATAACTGCTAGCCAAAGATACTGTTTAAAGATAAAATGGGCTTATTTTCAGACACATAAAAATAGTTGACCATCAATAGATCCATCAAAAAAATACTCAAGATAACTCAGGCGAAAGAAAAACAATTCTAAATGGAAGGTCTAAGGTGCAAGAGGGAATGAAAGTAAAAAGGAAATAGATTAGAAATATATTTTCGAAGAAAATGTAACATGACTTTGAAATAACTCTGATGTGGGGAGGTTAGGAAAGAGAACAATGTTTAAGAATACCATATTTGCAATGAAGAACTGAATAGAGCAAGTACCACTTATGAAAACAGGAAAGACCAATATGAAAGAAATGGATAAAATCAGCAGTTCAATATGGAACAAGTATGAGATGCTTATAAAAGTGGGGTGTAAAGTAGACAGCAAAGTATATGGGTCTGAAGCTCAGAAGTAAGTTTTGAACTAGAGCTGTAAATTTGGGAGTCCTAGAGTTACAGACAGAATACAGATATATAGGAGTTGATGACTTCAACTAGGGAGAGAGCTTTGAGAAGAGGGTCTGAACTCATGGCTTTCAAGGAACAAGAAATGAGGAGGAATGAAGACTACATGTAAAGGTAGGAAAAAAGAGGAAGTGTGGCATTGTGAAGTCATGAATTTCAAGGAGAAAACGATCAGCTGTGTGATTATTGCTGAGACCTTCAGTAAAATGAGGACAGAAATGCTCCATAGATTTGGCAGCCTGGCAGTTGTTAGTGACCTAGATAGCTGCAGCTGTTTCCTGTGTGCCTTTCAATTTCCTATTCCAGCACACTTTAAAGAGAACTCTTAACAGCTAACTGAAATTGTTAAACAAAACAAAACACCACATAGCACCATTCTTAAAAAGAACAAAAAGTCAGCTTCCAAAATGTATGAGTTATTTAACGTCATTAAAGCATAATGAGTCACATCCCTCACCTCTGACAGGTTAGTTAATAATCTTCATAATAATAAACATTTGTACCTAATTTCAATGTTTAAGACTGCTTTTGCATACAAGTTTATCTGAATCTCATAAAGAGGATTATTTTTCCTTCCAATTTTCCATACAGTAAAATCATATGGATCAAATATGTCTATTGGACTTTATACTCTATATTCCTTCAAGGACCCCAAGTACTGTCTTCACAAACATACCTTGCTTGAATGAGACAACCTTTTCCAATAACTGTTGCATCCACTGGGAGGTCTATGGTTGTGAAGAGAACATCAGGAACTTTTTGTTTCCTGCAGTTACTGCAGTATGTGAGATGAGCTGGAAACGGCATATTCAGTTCATCATATGGTATATGGCAAAATCCACAGCCTGCAGGCAAATTTTCTTCTAGCCTATATAGACACATTAAGGGGAAAAAAGGCATTCTTGAAAATTCTATGCATTTTTCCAAAAACAAATACTACCTATCCAGTACTTGTGTACAAACTATATCATAACTTTGACCATAATAGTTACCACTATGATTGATAAGAAATAAACAGGAAATCAGAACCACATACTCTGTTATGAAAGAAGAGGCTTATACAAGTAGTGGGGCATTTTCTATCAATTATGTTATTTTTTTATTTATTTTTTTAATTAGGGGATAACTGCTTTACAGAATTTCGTTGTTTTCTGTCAAACCTCAACATGAATCAGCCATTGGTATACATATGTCCCCTCCCTGAATCTTATGTTTGATGACCTGACAAAAACCACTATTATTCCAATGGTTTCTCCTTTAGGATACAACATAAAAATGAAGGGTATGATGTATGACAGAAATCAAACCAATATTGCAAACCAATCATCAATCAATTAACAATTAAATATTTTTTAAAATGGCTAGATAATAAGAGTGATATGCTTTTATTATCTGAAAAGATAATACACATAAAATCAGAAAATAATTCCTAAGGGAAAAAACCAATTTGAAAAAAATCTACAATTAGAAACAAATTTAAGAGGGAAAAAAAAAAGCCAAAGCTAGGCATACTCTAAAGTTTCTAATTTCTAATGTCTGTTGTACCCTTTCAGAGAAGCCAAAACACGTGTGTTTCAGAAATGAATATCTGTCATACGTGAAGCACAAATGAATGACCCACAAACTTTCCATTCACTGTAAAATGTCTACTGTAGTAGGCTGTTTATGAAATCATTTTAGAATGATTAAGTCTTTTTTCAGTCATTAAATCTGAAGAAATGAGAAGAATAGGAAGGGAAGAGGGAAACTCCATGGAGAACAGCAGGATTTCACACAGTCACATCCATGGCTCTGAAAAGATGTGGGTTCTCAATTCTGTTCCATCTAAAAGTTTACAAGTTACTATACCTCCCAGAATCAGGCTTTGCATAGATTCTTTGTATACATTATTTCACAGAATTTTCTCAGTAAACCTCTAAATTAAATTAAGTTTCTCCCAGATATTTTACTGTTGGGATGGCATTCTGGCCTATCAGAAGTAACAGGGGAAACAGATATGAGCAGAGCTGTGAGCCTGAGCAAGTCATTTAACCTCTGAGAGTCTCCTCTATAAAACTGGAACAACAGTATCTACCTAGAAAGGTTCTTTTTTTTTTAAAGATTAAGTAAGAAAACTATAGCTAAATGCACACCCCCTTCAATATAACACCAAGCACAGGGAAACAAAAACTAGTTTCATTTGGCCTGAAACCAAGCTGAGATGCTAAGTCATTTGCTCAGTCACAAAAAGTACTAAGTAGCAGACCTCAGATTTTAACGCCAGTTTGTTTGAATCCAAAGCCCATGTGGTACAAAGGGGACACAGAAAGATGAAAATCGGGACAATTTTTAACCAAATAACTCCCAGGTGGGAGTTATTTGAACACAGGTGGTGTATCATAAAGAATAAAAGTGCTAAAATGTATGACGTTCAGTTCAGTTCAGTTGCTCAGATGTGTCTGACTCTTTGCGACCCCATGGACTGCATGACATGAGGCTTCCTGGTTCATCACCAACTCCCAGAGCTTGCTCAAACTCCTGTCCATCGAGCTGGTGATGCCATCCAACCATCTCATCTTCTGTCATTTCCTCCTCCTCCCACCTTCAATCCTTCCTAGCATCAGGGTCTTTTCTAGTGAGTCAGTTATTGGAGCTTCAGCTTCAGCATCAGTCCTTCCAATGAATATTCAGGTTTGATTTCCTTTAGGATTAACTGGTTTGATCTCCTTTCTGTACAAGGAAATATCGAGTCTTCTCCAACATCACAGTTTAAAAGCATCAGTTCTTCTGCATTCAGCTCCCTTTATGGACCCCTCTCACATCCATACATGACTACTGGAAAAACCATGCCTTTGACTAGATGGACTTTAGTCAGCAAAGTAATGTCTCTGCTTTTTACTATGCTGTCTAGGTTGGTCACAGCTTTTCTTCCAAGGAGAAAGTGTCTTTTAATTTCATGGCTGCAGTCACCACCTGCAGTGATTCTGGAGCCCAAGAAAATAAAGTCTGCCATGTTTCCATTGTTTTCCCATCTATTTGCCATGAAGTGATGGGACCAGATGCCATGATCTTAGTTTTCTGGATGCTGAGTTTTAAGCCAGCTTTTTCACTCTCCTCTTTCACTTCATCAAGAGGCTCTTTAGTTTCTCTTTACTTTCTGCCATAAGGATGGTGTCATCTGCATATCTGAGGTTATTGATATTTCTCTTGGCAATCTTGATTCCAGCTTGTGCTTCACCCAGTCTGGCATTTTGCATGACGGACTCTGTATATAAGTTAAATAAGCAGGGTGACAATATACAGCCTTGACATACTCCTTTCCCTATTTCGAACCAAGTCTGTTGCTGGTTCCATGTCCGGTTCTAACTGTTGCTTCTTGACCTGCATACAGATTTCTCAGGAGGCAGGTAAGGTTGTCTGGTATTTCCATCTCTTTAAGAATTTTCCACAGTTTGTCGTGATCCACACAGTCAAAGGCTTTGGTGCAGTCAATGAAATGGATTTTTTCTGGAATTCTCTTGCTTTTTCTATGATCTTGGCAATTTCTATGATGTTGGCAATTTGGTCTCTGGTTCCTCTGCCTTTTCTAAATCCAGCTTGAACATCTGGAAGTTCATTGTTCACGTACTGTTGAAACCTAGCTTGGAGAATTTTGAGCATTACTTTGCTAGTATGTGAGATGAGTGCAATTGTGTGGTAGTTTGAACATTCTTTGGCATTGCCTTTCTTTGGGATTGGAAAGAAAGCTGACCTTTTCCAGTCCTGTGGCCATTGCTGAGTTTTCCAAATTTGCTGGCATAATGAGTGCAGCACTTTCACAGCATCATCTTTTAGGATTTGAAATAGCTCAGCTGGAATTCCATCATCTCCACTAGCTTTGTTCATAGTGATGCTTCCTAAGGCCCACTTGACTTCACATACCAGGATGTCTGGCTCTAGGTGAGTGATCACACCATTGTGGTTATCTGGGTCTTTAAGATCTTTTTTGTATATTTCTGTGTATTCTTGTCACCTCTTCTTAATATCTTCTGCTTCTGTTAGGTCCATACCATTTCTGCCCTTTAGTGTGCCCATCTTTGCATGAAATGTTCCCCTGTCTCTAATTTTCTTAAAGAGATCTCTAGTCTTTACCATTCTATTGTTTTCCTCTATTTCTTTGCATTGATCAGTTAGGAAGGTTTTCTTATCTCTCCTTGCTGTTTTTTGGAACTCTGCATTCAGATGGATTATCTTTCCTTTTCTCCTTTGCCTTTCACTTCTCTTCTTTGCTCAGCTATTTATAAGGCTTCCTCGGATAACCATGTTGCCGTTTTGCATTTTGTGACTGGTGATGGACGTAAAGTCTGACGCTGTCAAGTACAATATTGCATAGAAACCTGGAATGTTAGGTCCATGAATCAAGGTTAATTGGAAGTGTTCAAACAGGAGATGGCAAGAGTGAACATCGACATTTCAGGATCAGTGAACTAAAATGGACTGAAATGGGCGAATTTAATTCAGATGAACATTATATCTACTATTATATCTATTATATCTACATTATATCTATTATATCTACTCGTGAGCAAGAATCCCTTAGAAGAAATGGAGTAGCCTTCATAGTCAACAAAAGAATCCAAAATGCATACTTGGGTATAATATAAAAAATGACAGAATGATCCCTGTTTATTTCCAAGGCAAACCATTCAATATCACAGTAATCCAAATCTATGCCCCAACCACTTATGCTAAAGAAGCTGACTGGTTCTGTGAAGACCTATAAGACCTTCTAGAACTAACATCAAAAAAAGATGTCCTTTTCATCATAGGGGACTGGAATGCAAAAGTAGAAAGTCATGAGATACCTGTAGTAACAGGCAAGTTTGGCCGTAGAGTACAAAATGAAGCAGGGCAAAGGCTAACAGAGTTTTGCCAAGAGAGTGCATTGGTCATAGCAAACACCTTCTTCCAACAACACAAAAGACTACTCTACATGTGGACATCACCAGATGGTCAACACCAAAATCAGATTTTTGCAGCTGAAGGTGGAAAAGCTCTATACAATCAGCAAAAACAAGACCAGGAGTTGACTGCGGCTCCAATCATGAACTTCTTATTGCAAAATTCAGACTTAAATAGAAGAAAGTAGGGAAAACCGCTAGACCATTCAGGTATGATTAAATCAAATCCCTTACGATCATGCAGTGGAAGTGACAAATAAGAGTTAAGGGATTAGATATGACAGAGTGCCTGAAGAACTATATGGATGGAGGTTCATAATACTGTACAGGAGGCAGGGATCAAAACCATCCCAAAGAAAAAGAAATGCAAAAAAAGTATGAAAACACTTGAAATAAGAAAATGGATAATCTCTAAATACTGACATCCTAGGGAATTTTTTTCTTCCTTCTACTCCTACATTTTTTCTTTAGTAAGCACTAATAATTTCCTGTGTCCATCCAAGCCATAATATAAACAATCAAACTGCATGAGAAAGGCTGTTCGTTAAATTAGGCTTCTACCTACTAAAGAATGGAAGCTACTGACATAAGCAAGAACTATTCGGCAGCACTAGGACAACTCACCAGCAAAGTCAGTTTTCTCAACAGAATATTCCAATTGTTTAGTATACTTCAAAATGTCCAACCTTCACTTTCCTATTATTTACCATGACTTTTAGTGCTCTGAAACATATTATGGTCAAAATCTATTTTTAATACTGACAAAAGAAGAAACTGACCAAGGTCTTTGTAATGTATCTTTCTTGGCTACACAGAGACTTGTAAATTTTTACTAAATTTGATAATGCATAGATTTTTTTTTTTTGGCTTTCTTCCTTAATATATATTAATACATTAATAATGAGGAAAAATATGCATAGTGTTAGGTAAGAAGTATTTAAGATTTATATTATTCAGGCAAGCTCTGGTATCAAACTTACAGCTTTCTGTACATATAGTTGATAACCTCATCTTTTTATTTATGGACACTAACAGATTAAAGGAACTGATAATCAAATAAACCAAAAAGCAGTTTCAGTTTACCTAATGCTTTCACTTTTACTTTCTCTTTCACATATCTTAAAATCATATTTCACAAAGTTTTTATACATAATTGAAGCTTTTATACATAGTTTTCATACAACATAGTGTCTGTTGTGTAAATTAGGAATTTTCTTTATGGAAATTGTTTCATGACCTTTTCCTATTTTGGAGGTAAGAGAAAGGAAAAGAAAGGAAGGAAAAACTCAAAAGAAATTATTTCTACATTGTAGCAAACACAAAAATGTATACCTGAAATTTTTCAATTGGTAATCATATGTGCCATTTACTGAGACATTAGAAATAATAATGTGCGTCATGCAGTGCAGAACCCAATACTTCTTTGTTGCTAAGGTGTTGCTATGGATTAGGTAAAAATCAGTCAAGTGCCTGGTCCTGATTTCTACACCACACCCCTGTAACCCGCCCTCATAGAGAAGGATTATCCCAGCTCTGAGAAGAAGAAAATCAAACTCTCCCCTCTCTACCCTTAAGGAAAATAAGCCATGCTGTCGTGACAACCTCGGTTCCAAACAGCCCTCCACGGTGCCATCCTGCAAAAATCTAGGGTTCAGTACAGCTGCCGTGCCGGATGCAGATAAAATACAGACCTCTTCACTACAAAAGAAAAAAAAAAAAAAAGTTAATATTTTCAGGCAGTCTAACTTTGGGAAATGTTAAATATCAAAGTCATTACCAAGGTGACAATTTAAATTTAAGATAGACTTTACTAAATATTATCATCACAGGATTACCTCCTAAATCTAGGATAGAAAATAGAAGTAATATTGTTAAAATAAAGAGGAAGAGTATTATTTATCACTTAAAAATTGTAAAAGATATAGTATTAGTGACAATTCCTTTAAAATATGACAAAGCTTATAAAGACTGGAATGTCTCAAAATAATGGTAGTAACAAACTATATTGCTGAATACAGCAACAGCCCACTAAACTGTAATAAAATGCTCTTTAAATGAATATTGAATTTTATTAAAACTATTCTAAAAGCACAATTATAAATATCTATATTGCTTTAGCTTAATTTAAACTTAATAATAAAAAGACAACCGACACAAACATCCAAAGTATACTAGATAGAGCTTAAGCTACATCATAGTATATATATGATAAAAACTGGTTTTCCAAAGAATTCTCTGAAACTCTTTATTACATATTACCCAACTTGAAAGCCAAAAAACAATCAACATAATTATTGAATTATGAATGAGATCACCCAAAGCTAATGTGAAAAGTAGCAATCTAGGGGCAATACACTTGAAACAAAGTAAATGGACAAGAAGCAAGGCCATAATAGAAATGATCTGCAAGAGGCCAGGCTTCTAATGGTTAAATGCACACTAAGCATATAAAAAACACAAAGCCACAGAAGGCGCTGAATCAAAGAGCTACTAGAGCAGGTGTGCATTTCAAGGTGTGCACTGCAGGGAACTGAGTCCAGTAATAGTAAGTAGGACAGGTTAGAACAGAAAAAACTAGTAAAGACAGGATTTAAATACAAAGATTTTCTGAGGTCTCCAGGGAAAACAGAAGCTTACATCAGGTGAATGCAACCTTCTAAGTAAATGAATTAGACTCATTTCTGTATCTGAGTCTCCTGCATCTGTGACTTATCTTCAGCAACTGAATCCACACCTCTGGCCTTCTCCACATGCTACTCTTTTCACCCTGAAAACCCTCCCTATGCCTTTTCTCTTCATTGCTATAACTCATCTCTCAAGATACAGTTCAAGCTTCAGTTACTTCATTAAAACTTTCTTCCAATCCTAACCTATGGCCCTCTAGGATCCTTAGATATCTTGGCATAGCTCTACCATAAAATGTATTATGCTTGTCATAATTCTCCAGAAGAATGTGAATCCGATGGTAAGAACTATGTCTTCTAAAACTATATCCCTAAGACCTGAAAGTATATGAAAATAAATCCACAAACAGAGCAAGACTATCTACTGGGAAGAAAGGCAGGATAAGCCTAACAAGGTTAGTAGGTTAACAAAAGTAGAACAGCAACTATGAGAACAGAGCAGTTCAAGAGTGTAATATATACAAAGGAGTACTACTCAGCAATGAAAAGGAATGGGTTCTTGCTAACTAACAGGCATGACACTCAATTTAATCTCAACTTAAACATGCTGAGTGAAATTAATTAAACAAAAAGGAGTGCATAATGTTAAGATTCTATTTACATAAAATTGTGTAATACTGAAAACTTATTCTAGTGATAGAAAGCAGATCAGCAGTATATCCTGTGACAGGGGTGGGATGAGAAGGGACTGAAGGGAGAGAGTACAAAGGAATATAGAGAAGCTTTGGGGGTGACATATGTGTTGACTGTCTCAATGATGCTAATGGTTGCATGGTTTCATGACTGATGCTAATGGTTTCATGATAATAATGGTTTCATGATGTTTATGGTTTCACATAAAAGTTATGTGAGAACTTTTCAAAGTAATGCACTTTAAACATGTGAGATTATATGCCTATTATATATCAATAAAGCTTTTTTTTAAAGAGTATAATATATGGTCTGCAAAGAAAAAAAAAGGATCCTTAGAGAATGAAACAGCATGGCTCTGTAACATCCTCATTTATTACAGTCTAATCATTTTTTCTCCAACAAAAATGATCAGTACCACCACAAGAAAGTTATCTATGTAATAGCTGGCAGTTAAGAATTACCCAACAGAAGGGGGAAAAATAAGACAGCATAAGGTCAAACAGTGTCTAGACGACATCTATTACCAACTTCTGAAGGAGTGGAAAATAGGGTTCAAGGATGGCAGACAGCAAGTAAAGTCAGAACCTAAGTAAGGAACTGGGAAAACTCTTGATTAAGAGAAGGGTCAAAACAAACCAGAAATAAATAAGCAAATGGGATGGGTAGGAAAATATCAGGTTGTGATCCAAGAGTGAAATTTTATGGTTTCAAACTTTTAAAGAGGAACAGTTTCATGTGATAATGAAGTCAAAATAAGGTTGAAAGTCAACTGAGGATAGAGGACTTGAGAACGAGAAAGTACAATGCCAGGCTGTCAGAAGGGAAATAATTGTGTGTAACTGGAGGAGATGGGCAGGGCAGTTAATTAAGAAGAGCAGAAAAAGGTTTTGGAGGTAGAAAATCCTGAACAATGGATTGGCACAGACTTAAATGGGGAAGAGGTTGTCCAAATGAAAGACAGGAGAAAAAGAAATTGAGAACTGAGAGTATGGAAGTCCCTTCCTAACTGGGTAGCATTAGGGAGATTTGTTGGTAGGAAAAAGTTAAGTTATAGTTAATTAATGAAGGCAGAAAGAGTTTACAAATGAACTTGAAAGACACATGGCGGTTCATTTACAAAAGATTAAGGGTTTCAAAATCCCAGAGGAAGGAGCTGGTGGAGTCACAAACTGGAATACAGTAGGCCCTGGAGTTAATACTTGCTGTGTGCCAGTATTATATTCTCATTTAATGCCTCAATAACCTTAACTGATAGGTAGTTATTGTCTCCAATGTATAAACTGAGGCTCGGAGGAATAGAGCAATTTTCCTGAAGTTTCACATTAATTAAGCAGTAAAGATAGCATATGAACCTCCTTCTGATGCATTCTAAAAAAGCCCATGCTAACTGGATCAATCCACTTTTCTTCTTTTCTCCATATTTGCATTAAAGCTTTTTCCCTTTCAGATGACAATCTGTAAACTACAGCATCTAGAAAATCAAGTTGTTGTTATCATTTACCAGATGCTAGTTGATTCACTGTAGCCCACTACAGCATGACAGCCTAATGCTTTGGCATGGGATTTTATTTCTTGTCTGATTTCTGCCCACCATGCATCTCGAGTTTCTGGTTCATCTGAAAAATAAATTTTAAATCAGTTCACTACTCAATAGCACATTGTCTATTTGAACAAGAAATATGTAAAGTATGCATACTCTGGAAGGCAAAGAACTACTATTCTACAACAGGTTTTCAAACTTCGCATCTTTAAAACGCTACTTCTCAAAAAGCTTATTAACATTTTCATTTAATGCTACTTCTCACGAAGTTTAACATTTTAAATTCAGGTGCTAGAAAATAAAGCACCTAGTTCTATTTCCTTTATTTCTTTAGGGCTATCTATAGGGATCTGTTTTATGAGATACAATTTGAAAGGTAGACCCAGAGTTTTCAGACTCTAATCTTAAACTAAAAGGACTTCCTATGTCTCACCTCACTGAGTGAGCACCTTGAGTCATACCCATAAATTTATTTTAAATTCTGATTTCATTTCCTGGTACTTAATTTTTAATAATGCAATACATTCTGGGTTCTCTGCAAGGCATAGACTTATCAACATTAAAAAGCAGAAAGCCATCTGTAGCCATCCTTCTAAAGAGATGTAGGTCCTGAAGCAAAGTGACAAGAAATAAAGGGACTGGCCAATTCAAAATAAAGAAAGCAAATACACTGAAAACATTAGCATGAAGAATCTAGTTAATGTACGTAAGGACAAATTTCAGAAAGAACACTGTAACTCCATATATGGCTCTGTCATTAAGAAAATGCTTTTGAATCACAGATCACATTTTATAAGCATAGAGTAGCCCAACATTGCTTGCAATGGAGCATTATAGATGGAACATCTGTCACATACACTTCTAATTACTTGCAGTTAACTGCAAACTACTGATGAACAGCAGCTGCATATATAGTTAGCTTTTCATGTGCAAAGATGTTAAAAACAGAAATGGTCTATAATCAGCATATGCTAAATTGTTTCTTTTTTTGTGGCCAATTCCATTTGGGAACAATTTGGAAAAGAAAAAACCTGATCAACTCTAAATAAGATGCTATGCTCTTACTGTAAATCTTTCACATTAAAAGGGCACTATTATGACTGAAAATCCAACAATCCAAAAGCCTTCTAAGTTTCTGTACATATGCAGTTTTCAAATACGTTTTTCAAGTAAGTAGAATAAGTAGAATCATACTCACTAGTGAAATACTGAAGACAGCAAAGTAAACAAAGGTTAAAAGGCTTGTTATAGCTCACATTCCTATGGTGGAATTTTGTTTCCCCCACAGGGAGATCAGCAAAAAGAAGTGAGGAGGTAAAAACCAGAACTACAAATGATGCCAGCCAGTTCTTGCGTTAAAGTCTTAGATCCAAGACCGTGCTACCCTAAAACTTTCTTTCAGAAAAGAAGAAAAAGACACAAAACTCCAGGAAACTGAGGAAAAGATCAAAGTACGAGATAAAGAAGGAAAAGAAATAGAAAATACTACAATATGGTGTTAGCAATCAATATTACAAATTCAGAAATGTGTGAGACAATTAGGTGGCCCTATTTTGCACATATGCTACTATGTTAAAGAATTTCTTCATATTCCAAGCTGAAATGTAGACATCAAGAGCACAAAAACACTTTCATATCCATTCTCTCTTTTTAGGACATACACGTTTGTTTCCAGATCAATTTGGACATCTATTAACATTATCTTTTCCTAATAGTGAAATTTTATATCATAAGACAAACTATTATTCAACTAGTTGCTCCATCTATCAAATTACTTATGATTTTCTAAAAAGATAGCAAAAATAAGAACTATATCTCAGTTTAGAAAAAAATTATTTTCCTGAAAAACTATGTAAAATGAAAAGTTGACTTTAAGATATAATAGTAAAACCTGCAATTTACTTTTCAAATCATTCTGGAAGTTTACAATAATATTTACTAAGTCAAATAATCATATACTATGTTTTTATAAAAATAGATTTTCTCACATTAGGTTTACCTACATCTTACTACATAGTAATACATGGTAGTTTTTCTGCTTTAAAACTTTTACAGGATGTAATCAACAGTATTATATTTTTTTTAATTAATGAAAAATTTGGAAGAAGCTACTTAAGTTCCATATCTATTTATTTTAAAAGGCCAGCATGCCTAAATGGAAAAGTATGTAATAATAATTACTATGAGATACATGTAACCACATAGAATACAAAGTTTATCTACATCAAACTTACCTTGGTAAAACACATAAAATAATCAGATAATTAAACCAAACACTATGAAAGAATAAGTGGCTGATTTAAAAAAACAAACAAAAAACAACAACAAAAAGCTGAATGCAGCGCAAGTAGAACATTCATACTCTTCTGACAGGTTCACAAGCAGCCTTTATTTTGACACATGAGCCACACAATTGCACAGGGGGATGCCACTGTTGTAGTTAATAAAGTATTTACAAGTTTAATAAAAGCTAAAGAGTTACATAACAGGAGGGCTAAGGAAGCAAATGGTGTTATATCCACACTCCAAAGAATTTCTTAAATTTGGTTTTTGGCTAAAGCAAAAGCTCAAAGAACGAAGGGTTTTGCAAAGCAGATTCAGCAGACAGGAGCCAGAAACAGTGGAAACTTTGGCGCATGCTTGGATCAGGTGACAGTACAGACTGAAAACTATGGCAGCTCACTGAAATGGTTACAGAAAGTAATGGCCCTAGATTCTAGGTGAAAGCAAGGCAAGCATACAGTAGGGAGCACTTCATCACAAACTCGTCATTGGATTAAAATAACTACCTACAACTGTGAGCAGGAAGTCAAAGCATGAATTTTTTGGCTATTAAATTTAGGGGTTAATTAAGATAAAATTAAGAAAAATCAATTTATTTAATATTACAGAAAAAGTAAACTTGTCTTCAAAGCCTATCTTATACCTAATGCCAGAGATGAGCCACAGAATTTTCAAGTAGCAATCAGGATTCAGTTTAACTTACTAGTACTGAAAATTCAGAAACATCACAGTATTTAATCTCTACTAATGGAAATCTTAAAGCTTAAAAATGGCTAATTATACTTCTTATAGGAAATACATTAGTGAATCTGAACTGTTTTATTCACCCTACAAAAGTAAAAACTGAGGATTTACCATACTTATATAAAAGGCAAAACAAAGAACCTGGCTTAAAAATTTACTGGCAACTATACACGCCTTATATGAAACTGGATACAATTTGGTCACTTGAAGGATATACAGCTGAGATGTGAGGGTTGCAAATTAACGTTTCAGAGATGTGAAGAAAAAATACCTTCACTTAAAATACCATGCTCCTCCCAAGAATCTACAGAATTATTGATAATCATAAAAAGATGATCATTTTAGGAGATACTAAAAGTTATTTATTATACAAATTGTATGTCATACTATTTTGTATTTTTCTTCTAAGGGTCAGAATTATACATAGATAATTATCACAAATCTTTTACTATATCCTTTTAATTGCAAGCATGAACTGAGTTCTAGATCAATGCCTCACTGATGCCTCTTACAAGGGTCATGTCCTCACACTTACGTTGACACCACAGTTAATTCGTCTATTACTTGTCTAGAGCATGGCCATAGCTTGATATCTTGCCATCTTAGTATTTTATCTTGTTTCTAAAGTACAGGTGACACTGGTAAAGATTCCTAAAATGACAGTAATAGTTTACACCTCAAAAAGTAAACAAATGAACAACTCAACATAATATGCCTTTATAAAAGTCAATTCCTTCAAGATTTTAGGCAATTACACATTTGCAACTAAGAAATGCTGACTACCTGAAGAGTTAAATGTAGTTCTATTTTTATATAGGTCTAGAAGAGAATAATTCTGTCCGTGGGAACCTTTTAATCAAGTTGAAAGGGAAAAAAAAGGAAATGGGCAGTTATTCAATCTAATTTTTAAATAAACAAGAGAAGATAAAGTGTTAGGTAGGATTTTCAGAAAAAGGATAATGTATCTTGTTAATGGACAGCACTAAAAGCTACCTTCTCAAATATCTGAAAGTAACAGTCCAACCCAAAACAACCTTTTGAAGAAGATAAATTTCCACTACTAGAATAGAAATTAGAGAGTCCAGGTTCAAGAAGTATAGAACCTCAAACTGGTTGGGAATTCAGTACAGACTAAAAAGAAGAATCTCATTATAGAAGAAGTAATGCGCAAACTGAGAGTGAACTTCAAGATGTGGTAATTTGGAATACTAGGACGGTGGCTCAGGTACAGTCCATGTTGGACCAAACTGCAGTCGTTACTATTTGTTTTAAAAAAAAAAAAAGTCAAATACGTAATTTACTCCTTGACTATGACATTTCATTCTTTATATATATAATGTAACTGGTGACCAGTTACATTATTTTATACAGAGAATGATACATTACATTTACATGTTACATTATAATAATGTAATGGAATATCCAGTTACATTTTACGTATTTCATATATATGAAGAGTGAAATTTCACATTAAAGGAGATAACCCATCTGACTTTTTTTTACAGATAGTAGAAAAGTAATGAATATCCAGTTACATTATATATAGAAAGAAAATTAAATATTACATTTATGTCACATTATAAAGGGAAGCTCACAAGTCATGCATGCTATATTTATGCCTTCTTGAACTCTCTGTATCTACTTTCTGAAACCTTAGTAAAATACTGAAAACCAAATGCTGCTTAACTACTTTAGGCTTACTTTGCACATCTGCTCATGAATGTCCCTCAAATGTAGAAAAATAATGACTGCTAAGATCATCAGTAGAATTCAAATTCCAAGAAAGTCTATCCATTTAACTCTCTCTCTCTCTCTCACACACATACACACACAGAGCAAAGTAGTATAAGAAACAGACTAGACTGGTATGTAAACAGGAGGTTTGCCTGGTTGAACCCTGGTTATTTCCAATCCCCAGAATTGTGCTTAAGACATGGTAGGCCCTCAACAAATATATACTGGAGAAAAATTTGAATGATCATAGTGATAAGTATATTCTATATAAATATTTCCTTATACTTCCCTATATAAATATTTCCTCAGCTGACTCATATTTTGTTAAATATTTTTAAAATAGTAACTACACTTTTAGATGTTAACTATTAATTTTGCCTCTAAAATAGTCAAATTTATAACTATATTTCTGAAAACAAAAAAGGGAAAAAGAGTAGTAACATTTTCTAAATTTAAACCACTAAGTCTATCATTAGCTCAAGTTCATTCATTGTAAGATTGAGAAAATTTTCAGTCTAATAAGTCTTAAAACCTACAATCTGTCTAAAACAGTAAAAAAAGAAAAAATATTTTTAGAATATGCTCAAAAACAAAAGAAAGGCTATTCAAACATCTTGCGTTACTCAGTAAAACACTCTTACTAACTTACTAAAACACTCTTAAAAATATTGTCTAAGTTCATAAGCTACTTCAAACTAGTATTTTTCAAATGACACTATGTAACTACTTTAAATTTCCTCTTGTCACTTCTAAAAAAGTTATGTAATTGACATGCATCCTACACAGGAAAGAATAACCAATTATCCTCAACTCACTGAGATTGTTACTAAGTAAGAAACTATGTGTGACCTATTCAGAAATATTTTTAGTGGTAAACTCAGAAGAAAAAAAGATTACAGACATTTGAGAAGTAATGAGCTAGGGCTATTAGAATTTACTCTTAAAATATTATTTACAACTGAACTTTCAAACAGACTTGAGTTTCTAAAAGATAGGAATCATTTGCCCCCTGGGATGTTAAGACTTGCAGACACGTGGAACAATCATTACCCTTCTCTGTCTCTCAGCTGAAAGTTGCACAGAGCCTGTTTCACTCACCACATTCTCCTATAATTACCAAGTCCTGCAGGCTTCACATTCTAAACAGTTTGTAAATTTGTGGTTAAGAGTGTAAGCCCTGAAGCCAAAATTGTAAGGTTCAAACTGGGGCTCAGTCACTTCCTATTTGAGCTTGGACAAATGGCTATGTTTCATATTGCTCATGCACAAAATGAGAAGAATGCCTATGAGAGGGCTGTGCTTGAGGATTAACTGACCTACCACCATCCAATCTGACAAGAGTGCACAGTAAGTGCACCACAAAACTTCAGCTCTCCTGTCACCCTCAGATCCCAGGTCACTGTCTGGCTAGGACTCCTGCCGCACTGTGTTCTCTCTAGTCCTGCTGCTTCTAAATTCATTCTGCACGGGTAAGCAGCGATTTAATGCAAATCTGACTCTTCTGTCTTCGACGAATCTCCTGTCCCTGGCATGTCACACACAAGATCCGCAAATGCTACATTCTCCTTCCTAGTAGCAAGGTTCACTTTGTCTTTCTCCAAGTCTGTTAACAGGCCAAAGAAATAAGAAACAAGGTAATAAAGGGTAGAGTTTTGAATAAATTTTCAAATATTGAGTTCCTTTCTTCCTGCTCTATAAAAATACTTTCTATCACTGTAGTTAACACTGTAGTTAACACAAAGTAACACGACAAAGCGGAAGAAAAGGGGGTGGGGAAAAAAGTAAACTAAGACATTTTGCATTAATAGCAAACAAAAAGTATGAATTAGCTACGTAATAAACTTCATTGAATGAGTAATGGCTAGGATATTGTTTTGCAAATGCTTGAAGTTTCAGAACTACACTCAAAGAATATATTAACATGGTTCCAAATACACTGTCTGAAATATAAATCTAAGTGAATCTTCATATACTACCCAAAACTGAGCTCAAGATTATTACCTCTATAAGGTACCCTGCCACACAGTTAATCCCAGCTTCCTCTTTAACTCTGAATCTTGTATCACACCATACTACACAGTAAGCCATTTACATATTCTTCTATCCTCCCAGAATATAAAAATAGGGGGACAGGCACCTTTGCACATCTCTTATCTAGCAAATTGCACAGTACAAAATAAATTCTAATAACTATCCACATGGTCTATTGTTTTGCATGAAACACTAGTGTGTGATATAAATTGTTTTCCTATACTGTTCCACATTTTAATGTTTCTGAAATAAAAACGTCGAATAATTAGTATGTTTGACTACCATGTGTTCCTCTTTTTTCTTAGAAGGCTTTTATGAAGTCAATGATATATCATATTATAGCTGGTATCAGAGAGACCAGGAAATATAGTATTGATAAATAATTTCTAGCATTAATAGAAACTGTATCAACAACTACTTTTCTACAATTTTTGATTTTCTGTGGTAATACAGGAGTGGCTAAATATTCCCTAATTACAGAGAAAAATATATAAATGATTTGAATACATTTACCAAAGATATAATTTTTTTTCAGAATTATCAAGCTATTTTTCTGAAACTAGTATCAGAAAAACCCTGGTTTCTAAGTATGTACCAGTTCTTACCAGAAAGACTCTAAATATCCCCAATCAAAAGCATAAAACTATAAGCACATTAAACTGAAAGCATCATTGTTTATGTTCTTTTAATATGCTGTTACATATCCATCTTTTCCTTCCTACACTTACTACTGGATTTTACTTTAAATGATGGCAAGATATACTGCTTCCTAAACCATGTTCCTCCTCACCAAATTCTGTAAATCTGTTTACAGGGAACAAAGTCTTTACTGTGTCTATAAGATTTAACTTTTGCCTTTTACACTTTCTAAAACAGTTCTATCATCTGTTATATCTCTCATCTTAAACATCGTTGCCCTCACAAACTTTCAGCTCCTTAAATTATTAATGATGATGCCTCAATGTCCTGTTCTTATGTAACTAGTCTTTTTTCTGCCCACCACCATAATCTGCCCATGTTTTTAAAAATATATTCTTATTTTATTAAATGAATCCAGCAGGATATTTTTAATTTCTCATTAAAAAAAAAACAATATAAAACATTACATTACAAATGATTACTTTAACTCTAACCAATGTGATACATGCTGGCAAAAACTTGGATAGGAAATAGAGGTAATTTCCTCAAAGATTTACCAATTGATGTCGGTCCAAATCTGCAAAGGTTGGACCAGATCAGACTGTTTACTAGACTGACTTTAGGTTAAATCCACATGATGAACATGAGTTACTTCATAGTCAAACATGCACTACTTACATCAGAACTTACATCCTGGACTCCTAAAAAAAAAAAGTTTATAACACTGAAAAGATTATGGGATATTAGCTCAAACGTTGAGCCTCTTGGTGCTTCTGCTTTTGTTTTTCTGTAAATAGATGTATTTTCTGACACAACTAAAAAAGTTCTTTAGGAAAATGCCAGGTTCTGATACTGAATCAAAACAGCTCTATTATTTAATTCTAAAATAGAGATAAGTATCTATATTTTTATGTTAAGAGAACATGCTTTTTATCAAAAAGAAAAATTAATTGGCTTTGACTCTAAACCACATCATCAGCTGTAAAGCTATCTTAAGTTTCTTTAAAAGCTACAAACTATATTCACATGTAAAATTACTTAGAAAGAAAAAATATATTCTATTTGGAAAAGGAGGGAGGAAAGCTTACAAAAGCTGTTAATCCCCCCAAAATCTGCTCCTACTTACCAAATTTTGGAACACTTCTAGAATTCTAAATAAGAATACAGCAAAAACCATCACAATATTGTAAAGTAATTAGCCTCCAATTAAAATAAATTTTAAAAAATTAAAATAATAAGTTATAGTTTTATAATATTTATAGAACACTAAATATATTCAAATCTAAATTGAAGTTTAAATATACTTTAAGATGAACAAACTAGCCATTTAATACTTATATATTTAACAATTACTATTCCCTTAATGATAAAACTAATGCTAGTATCATTTACCTGATATGAAAAAAACTGTACAAAAATGTAATAAATATAATTTAAAATTATCATTCTGAAAGTTCATCACCTAACAGAAGTCATTCATAATTCATGGTATTTCTATGGTTTTGATTAATTCATTTTAGTAAAAACATTTTTATATTTGTATTTCCATGGAAATTACAAAAGTTATCACATAAGTATTCCAAAATGTATCTGTATTAACTGAATTGACATTAAGCCTATTTAATTGAGAACATTTCTAAAAACTTCACTGAGCTGCCATAATTTTTGTCAGCATATGTAGTACTGAATGACCATTAAAATACCTGAATTGAAACTATTCCAGTCTAGCAGTTTGTAAGATCTTGTGTTACCCATAATTCCGACAAAGGCTGAGTTCAAAACAGCAAATTAGTAGATCAGTTTTAGGTGCAGAATAGTAGGAAAAAAAACAAAAAATACTACAAATCAGAACACAATCAGAACACAACACCACTTGACAGGAACTAGAAAGACAGACAGCAGAGTTAATAAGAAGTAGAAATAGAGAAGAAGGAACATGCTATAGTAATCTACCATTAACTGAAGTCTAATTGTTATTTCAGATAATTACCTTTTAAAACCATCCCATTCTCTCCCTTATTGTATTGACCTGTTTGTTTAATATTGAAGAAGAGGAAGTTCTAAAGAAGTAACTCCAAAATAATAATCAATAGTTAGCAAGTGGTAGTCGTTTTAAAATAAGGTTCCTTTTATACTTAGTGTGAAATGAAAATTTCCCATATTCACTAGTCAAAAAATAGCTGCAAGGTTCATCTGAGAGTGCAAATATAGGACTTTTAACATTAGCACATGTATCTCATCTGTCATAATTTTCTTTCAGCAGAGTAACTCAGAATCATAAAATTAATATATCTTTATTATGGTAGATGCTAACTGAGTTTTGTTCTGACATTCAGCTTCTGTCAACAAATTAAAATTTTTTCACAAATAATTATTTACGGGGCCTGAAGATTAACAAAATGTTAAACAAATGTTCCTTTTTCAGGCACAATACATATATAAAAAACAACCCAAATAATGTGATAATTCTATCAAAATAATGTAATATTGGGGCCACTAGAATATGATTTACATTTAACTGAAAATAAAAACAAAACTGAAAAACAACATTTATAACATTACAAGTATTTATATGTATTATATATGCCCATAATCTTCTGGAAAATAAACCATTAGTAACTGAGAATTTCTCCACGTAAACTGAAAAAATATTCAGATAGGGAAGCAGAGAAAGAAAACGGATGTGCTATGGTTACAATATACAAATCATATTTTATAAGAAGGAAGAACTTGTGTTTTCTTCCCCGGGCCTGGACTTTTATATTTCTTACACAGCTAAAAATAAACCGGCAAGTATGGAAAACGCTCAAAAGCAGGTTTTGGGGGGAGTTTTTTAAGTAATGTAATTTAAAACTTGGCTCTCTACTTAAACTTGGTTTAAATAACCTTCATTTCTTCTCCTAGACTCTACAGCTTACTCGGAGTACATGGGAGCAATGATGAAATCAAATGTTTCCATCACGAATAAGTGAATATATTCCTAGAACCATTTTTGGAGCTATTATATCGATGGGTGTGTGCCAATTATCAAAATACTTGAGTCAAGGGTACATAGAAACACAGGTAACTGGCCTTTGGTCACCCAGTTAGTGTCAGGTATCTTAACTCAGTATTTCCTTGCACTTCTCAAATAATTCAAGTTCCTAAATGCACAGATATGAAACTTGGCATAGTCTTCAAGATCTCGATCCATTAAAACCGGCATCAGTCTAAATTTGCCTTTAAGTACTACAGAATGCAGAAAATACTACACAAAGAAAAGATTTTAAATTGACCCCAAAAATAAGATACAGGGGAAAAAAATAATAAACCAGGGAAGAAAAAGAGAAGACTGGTACTTAAAATATGTATTTGCTCAATGTTAGAGTTTAACTAATCCCAAATAGTATTGTTTTTCTGCAATTCCATTCAGGGTCTAGAAAAATTCCATTCTGTTTTAATTCAAATGACATCAAACTATGGGGCCCAGATTAAATTTTTAAAAAATCTAAAAGAACGGTAATGCTTTGTATCCTCAAAATCACTATTTGAGTTTTGCATACAATAATTTCAAAGCATTTTTCTTTTTTCATAGCTGTCAGTACAAGCCCCAGGAAGAGGTTACTGGAAGTGACCATTTCAATTTTCAAAAATACATTTGCATACATGCCAGGTAAGAATACTAATATAACTTCAAGTTTAAGGTATGTCATCAAAATAATAAGTGACTTGAGCAAGTTACTGGGCATCTAGTCAATGAGAGATGCAAGAACAGGTTCCACAGGGAAAGTTCCTACTATACGTCTCATGCTTATTTTAGATTTAGAAAAATCAGCAAAGCATTTTTAATCCAAGGGTCTGAAATCACCGGGACTTACATGCTTTTTTTCTCTTTTATAATCAAGGTTCATGTTTTAAAGAAGTAAGCTGCTATTTTCTCCTGTTTGCTTATATGAAATAAATAGCTACTGAAAGAAACCAAGGACCCAAAGACAATAATTACTTTTTTAAAACTTTTAGGTTTTCTACACAATGTATACATTTCAAAAGAAGACTTCTTTTATGAGTAATAAAATTACTTGAATAACCCATAAAGAATTATTCCAGTGAAAAGAATTAACCTAACCTCTTAAGCTAATGGCCACAATGATCAAACTGTAAATTTAGTTATCTGCCTGAGTCAAAGAAAACAGCTGACTCAAAAGTGACTTAAGGATTGCCTCAATGATACAGCTTGGCCAAAAATGAATCAAGATTTGCTTTGTATTAAAAAAAAGTAACTGAAATACACACTTCTACTTAGCTTATTTTTAGTTAAGATTACTGCAAATATTTGAAAGCAACGTGTGCTAGTTTATACTTTCTTCGTCATTTTTCTTTTTGGATAAATTCAGCTTAAAAAATTATAAAAATCAGTGTTAATAATAACCACAGTGTAAGTAAATGAAACACGGAAAACAAATGTTTAGAGAACATACCAGGATTGTGGATACGATCCAAAAGCTTCACAGAGCGTGCACTAACAACGCCCCCAACATGCACGAGGAATCCAGGAGGAAATGCCGTCAGGGTGAAAAATGGAAATTCCTAGTAGAAAGAATGGGGGAAAAATATGCCTGACCATGTGTGAAGTGCAAATGAGTGCCTGTTAAAAAGCTTGTCATAAAGAAATGAATACTACCCGTTAACAAAAGGCTACCAATTATACATTACAGATGCTTTGTAATGAAAAACTTCCTTGGATGTTGAGTTCCCAATCCATTTTCCCACATGTATTACATTACACAGAATCTGAACACCTTTTTTTTATCACTTTTAAATGAGGAAAAAAACAACATTCTCAGAGTTTCAATTTGAGACATCTGAACACACTCTTCTTTCCTCTCAATCGCCTATTGCAATCCAACTTGGCAATGAGATGGGGAATCTGCCTGAATTACAATCCACACCTACTTCTCGACGGGGGAGACTCTGCCTCAGACACCTACCCTGTTCCAGGCTACTGGTAGACTCTGAAGTCCTGGGGCAGGAGGTCTAAAACAAGGTGGGACTGAGGGAGGAGGAGGGAGAGGATGAGCAGAGCAGGTTAACAGCTACATAGAAAGGTGAAGAGAAGAGCCAATGTCAAGTTCAAATAAGCAGAGAATTATTGTGTGGGCTTATTTCCTCTACCAACAAGGGGGCAGCAGGAAAAAAAAATCTAAATATATAAATGCACATTAAGAAAGGGGAGAGGTTTGCAGATGACAGCAAGGGAGGCAATCAAATTCTGCAAGTTCTTCCAGGATTTATTCCCCTCTCTCTCACTCTCCCTCTCGAGGACATCACATTTGTTAACTTAGAAATGAAGAGATGCAGGCAACAAAGAAATGGTAAAGCAGAGAAAGAAAATTTATTGAAACAGCACCCAAAAGAAAGGAGAGTTCCTGAGGCTGCTCATATGATAAAAACTGGATGCAAGAAAGGACAACAATATCTGACCTGTCTGGCTGCAAGATCAACATAGCTCACTTAACCACAAATCACTTACCAGTAGCCTCAGCTATTCAGAACATAACTGAGAACTGGAAATTAAGCAAAACAGGGCTCTCAACAGTCAAAAGAACTGTTACAGTTGCAAGGACTAAACTTCATGTATTTCATTCCTAAGAGATCCCCACAGACTATATTCACACAATGATATATGGTAATTACAAGTGTATAACATTACAAATGTATTCTAAAATCTACTGATATCTTTTTTTCTGGACCATAGCAGATTAAATGCAGCAAATAAAAGTTGGGAGATAAAGAGATACAGAATACTGCGAGAAGCAGGCACATTAACCACAGCAAGATTACTGAATGGCTGCTTAAAGCATGGAGATGTGAACTGACCAAACCATAATTCACACAGCAAAGCAACTTGGAGTCATTTAGTACAGAAGCAAACAGTCCTGCACACCCCAATAACCCATGAGGTATAGTATTAAAATATATATACATGTGTGGGTGTGTGCACACACACACTCATATTCAGAAATTCATTAAAATTTAAAAGTAATCTTTAACAAGCAAGAAAAACCTATGCTATGTAAAAAGGGAGTAAAAAAAAAAAAACAGTGGAAGTGGACAGGTTTGACCCAGTTGACAGGTAGAGCAAAAGGAAGAAAAGGCAGACGAAGGTAGGGGAATTTTACTTCAAAGTATTATAAAATGGTGAGTCAAAACAGCCCCTTATTTCCACCTAAATTTTTTACATATAAATTTTAAATGAGAAATGTACAGACAAGCTCATACTATTGGAAACATGAGTCTTTTGTTCAGTCTCTAAGTTGTGTCCTTAAGATCCTTAAGATTTGTTTTCAATTTTAAGAATACAGAAGTTATAAAATCTCCTCAAACTACTGTGGTCAAGTCCAAAAAGCATGTTACACTTTATCTTTATACTTAACATTTTAAATATTTTGGATAACAGACAGCGAAAATGCAAATTTTGGAAGTTAAATGGAACGTAGTACTTCCACCTAAACTTGAGAAATAAGTAAATTCCATGCTGGAAATCTGCATATAAGAATTTAGATAAGACAGAAAAAGAAAGTGAACCTAAATGATTTCTCTATTTGGGAGTTCTGACTCTTCTCCCCAAATTTCAGAAAATGGGAAAACAGGATGACCGCAGAGCTGGTCAGAGCAGAAGTGGTAGGGGACCAGCTGACCTAAGAGGTGGAGGATGTCCTGCCAACTTAGACTCTGTCCTAACTGTCCCCAGTTCATCCAGGCAGCACACTTCCCCAGTTTAACACAGAACTTAACCTAGAGGGACTTCTCTGGAAGTTCAGTGCTTAGGACTCGCATTTTCACTACAGGGGGCGTGAGTTCCACCCATGGTTAGGCTAGGATCCCACATGCCACAGGGCATGGCCAAAAACAAACCAACAAACAACCTAGAATTAAAAAGGCATTGTTATTCAATCCAAACTATGATTGGCAAAGAACACTTTTAGAAGAGCTACCGCCAGTATCTCAACTGAGGGTTAAATAGCTGTCCTCCCACCAGCATCACCAGTAACCATTATGGCACTTCCAACTTGCCAGTCCTTTGCACAGTACCTTAAAACTAGGCTTCACAGACGTTACCATACTGAGATGGATGTCCTATCAAATCCATGGTTCAGGTGAAACACTGAAATGAAGAGGGCCTATACTCTCTGAGCCACAAAAATGATTTTAATCTCTAGTCTATCACTACACCTGATGAATCTATAGGTTCTCCTCCACTGAAAAGGACAGCTTTGTTAAGATCCACCCAAGCACACCCTGCCTTCAGTGTCCAGATGGGAATGCCAGGGACCACATTTTCTCTGGAAAGCCCTTATTTTGCCCTGTGCAGCCTAGATAAGACTTCATACACTGATGCTTTGACATAAGCCAACCGCATGTAGTGTAAGTCATTTAATAGCATGTGCTCAGAGGCAGGCTAGTTGAAAATTCTAAGAACAAATGGAATTTTTTAAAAGATTTAAATAGGATTTTTCTCAGAAGATATTCAATCAATTTCATTTTTTGAAATCACAGATGTTTCTTATTATCCCAAGACACCATAGTAAACTTTCTAGATACAAAACTCCCCGCCAGGTTCCTACAATGATTTATCATATAATTTTATCCCTACTTCAAAAAAGATCGTAATTTACCAAAAGAATCTGCTTTAAATCTAAGTTTCCCAAAGTGGGTTCCTAATAGGCATTTTAAATGGAAAGACTTCTTGGGAAATACTAAGCTAAACTACGTCAATTAGGATTCTTTAAAGAAAAATATACATTCCAGAATCTAAAAAGTAACTTCATTTTTCCGGCAAGTTAAAAAAGAATCATATTGGAAAAATAAATCTATTTGCTTTACGGCAAATACTTCACAGGCAGAACCTTAATCTAAACTTTTACCTCCCAATAATCTGATACCAATTACCAAGATCTTGTCAACTTATTTTTAATGCTTTTGTGACAGAGGAAGAAAAAAGCACTTTTATTTTTGATAACTGCTACTTGAGTAACTCAAAATAAAAGATGATGGACAAACACAGTTCCTCTTTTCCACAAGAAACAAAAAGCTATATAATTTATTAAGGGTAGCAAGGGGACGAAGTGAATATTTTTAAAATGAATATATAAAATGATAAATAGGTATGTTCAACTTGACCTAGTGTTCAACTTGGCAGAGTTAAAGCATAAGTGACCACATACAGGGAGAATTCTTTATTATTTCTGTACAAATTTTTCCCATACTGATACTGATGGCAGTCACAGGTAAATGGGGAAACCAAGCAGGACAATGCTTTTTCTACCTATTATGTACACAGGGTGTAGGAGGAGGCTCACAAATACAACTCACTGCCACTGCAAGGTTTGATAAGGTAAATATATTGCCAACTGAGGTTTACAGAGTGGTAAATGAAAACTATAGTCCTCCACATCTCTGCTGTTAATGCCTCAAGGATTATCTAGTAAGGTATGTCCAATGTGTTAATGTGCCCAAAAGTTTAAGAATGTTTGAAAGCATATTTGAAGACATAAATTTTACCCAAACTAAATCCAAAGCATTTTCATTGATTAGTATTTCTTTTGTCTTTTAAAACTAGGTGCTTTTTACAGGAGAGTCATGGACTCAACACACAGGCAAAGTCTCATTATATCAAATGTCAAGACAAGTCAAGTTTTTCTGTTCATGTGAATTCTAGAATGGTAATTAGATTACAGAAAATATTCCTAGCCTAAGGGACTCCAGAATATGTAACACTGGGAGGGGGCAGGCGATAAGAGTTCTCTGGCCTAAAAACTAAGTGACACTCACTAACTCTGATCCTCTTCCCCATGTTGTTAGTCTTTCTTTATATTTGGTTTCAATGTATAGTTTGAGTGTTTAGGTGAGCTATCTGACGGCAGTCGTTGGCATGGTATGCCTGCCGATGTGACAGTACTAGCTGAAAGGCAAAGAACTAGGTACCACCCAACTCCTACCAATATCCCAAGTTGAGTTCAGCTCTGTTTTCTCCAGACTTTTATAACCGATTTTTATAACTGCACACACAGATACTTTCAGCACAAGGAAAGAAAATCTAAAAAAATTACCTGTTGTATTGTTTATAATGATAGGATCTGAAAAACACTCTGTCAAAAGCCAACTTTTAGCAAATAAATACCTTTGTTTTATAAAATGCATCCTTTTACAGACATTTGCTATGTTTAATCTTTTTTTTTTAACTGCTCGTATAAAACGGAACACGTAAAAGAAAAATTCTGTAAATGCTTGTAACTTCCAAATCAGACATAATGAAAGCTATGGAACTGTGTCTTAAAATAACTGACATGACATATAAAACCATGCACTGTATTAGTTAGGGGGGAAAAAAAAAACATGAGCCTCATAGTGCCATTAAATTAAAACAAAAAACAAACAATTTTGCATTATGAAAATAAAAAAAGCTGGCAACATTTGTTAAAAGCTTAAATAAAACTTAAATGATCAAGATTAAAACTAGAAAAGCTACCAATACATGAAATAGGCTCTCACACATGTTCAGAAACATACCCGCCTTCTACAGAACCTATGAGGCGATCCTCCCTTAGCAATGAAGTTTATACAAAAAAATAAAGAGAGAAAATCATCCAAAAACTTTAGCTCTTCATACAACATATTTAATTAAATAAATTTACAGTACTTAAAAGAGATGTAGTCACATACTGAACAATCATAATATCTATGTTAATATGTAAAAATATGGAATCTGCATTTCTTAATCCCAAAGAGACTGGCCACTGATAAAAATTATCTCAGCAAATATATGTTAATATACTAAAGAATTATTTTTAATACAATACCAATAAACTTTTTTCTAGAAAATTATCCACTATTTCCTTTTATATATTAAACTCTAATGTAAAATTAGAAATGATTTCATTATCCAATGGTTATTTCCAAACAGACTATTTCTAATATAATTTTGGGAAATAAGACAAAAATAGTTATAGAATTATTCAAAATTAAAAGTAATCATTTATAAGCAAATTACTGTGATACCTTTTGGATTGAAATTACAATATTAATCAAAACTAGTATATGAAAACAAGTTGTAAGTACATAGAAGCATGAGAATAAAATCATATTAACAGTGTAAGAAGAAAGAATATTGATTGAACCTTACCCTCTGTTCCAATGCTGATTGAGTCTGTTGTCTTAAAAGAGCTTTAAAGGGCCCCCCTTCTTTTCCAGCACTACCACTTCCCATTCCTACAGAACATCAGTATGTAAATAACGACCAAAAACAACTAGAGACATAGAAAGTTTAACTGCATTTATCTTCATAAATATCATGAACAAAATCTGTTAAAAACAAAAATCTAAACATTTGAAGTATTTGTGATGGCAACTAAGCACATACTCTTTTTTATTCATAAGGTTTTCTTTAGAAGCAAGATGTCAAAATTTTGATCAGTGAGTGTGGACTTAATTTATTCTAAAAATGAATTTTAAAATTACATTAAGGTGATGAACTTTTTTATGTAATATTCAATTTTAAAAGTTGAATCTTCTAATAAAAAAAATCAATGCAATATCAATTATTTATACCCTGCTAACAAGTGAAGAGTACTAAAAGAAATAAGAGAAACATTAAATGTTCGTTTCAAAGTAAATATATATATATATAGAGAGAGAGAAAGCACTAATTGAGCTTAAAATATTCCAAAATTCTCTAAAGAGCATGAATTTTAGGCAATTTTGAAATAGAGTCACATCTATTTTCTGATAATTTTGCATTCATAAACATAATATTCATTATAAAATAGCATTAATATTCATATCATACAACTCATTTGCAAAAACTGATATAAAGTTTTTAAAAACTAAAAACTGAAAACATATAATAGACACATCACAAATGTACATGGTTATGGATGAAAGAATTACATTTCCCAAGCTCTTAGATGTATTTATTTTTAAGGCATAAGTTTAAATGTCTTTCCTTATTTTGTTCTTTTGATAATACTAATAGACCAATTATGGTCAAAGAATTACAGAAAGCAGGGGGCAGGTGAGAAGCCAGTGCTCTACAAACTAATAATTTAGTCCCACCTTTTAAACCTGAAGATACATGCAAGCATATTTACTACAATGACTTAAGAAAGGAACTAATTTACTTTTATATTTTTAGCTGTTCTTGGATAAGGAAACAAAGTTAGCATGTGTATAGTCCCATTTTGTTCTTTAAAAATTAAAAAGAAATGTATTTTTCTTGTAATAATCTAAACATAATTTTTAGAGACTATACAATACTAAACACAGAAACAAAACTAAGATCTTCATATGAAGCGTATTGAAAGTCATAAAATAAAATGTAATTTGGTAGAGATAAATGAAATATCAGAAAATAGAGCAGAATAACTTGAAAATTAATGCAATGGCCAGGAAAAAAATGGATAATGGAAGAATATCACCAAAATGAGACTTAAACTGATTCAAACAGAATAATTTACTAATGTAACCATATGGTTTAGCAACATGATGGCATAGGTCCAACGTGAATGGAGTTGGTGTGAAGGGAAAGAAAGTAAAAGCATCTAAAACAGAAATTCTAGTAATGAGAACCTAGTAATTACTGGAAATATGCAGCTCTAAGCACTTAGACATACAATTTTTAATACATAAGATTATTTAGCAGAATATTCATAATTATCCATCAAGTAATCCTCAATCGTGTTCTCATGGTAATTTTAACCACTTAACTCTGTCTGCCAATAAGAAAAATAAGAAATACATTCTGTGTCAAATACTCAATACTTCTGTATAGTATGAAATAATTAATTTTTTTCAACGATGATTTCGAATAAAGGGATTAAAAAGCTGACATAATATGATCCTACCAGAAGCAGCCAGGAACAGCTCTTCACTGAAAGAAACACTTTTCCTCAGAACTGGGCTGACAAGGCTAGAAGGATGAGGGGGAAGGCTAGATTCCGAGAGGAGGAGACAGGACTTTTTAAGATGAAGGGACCCACAAGGGAGAGAGGGGGAGCTGGGACACAGGTAAATCCTAGGCCCCTGTGGGTAAGGTGCTGTGGAGGAAAGTAGCAGAGAAAAGATGCAGATTCAGAAGATGACCAGAAAATGCAGGATAAGGAAAGCAATGGTGAAGCAAAACGTAACAGTAAAAATGAACTGTAAAATGCATACACAAATTACAGTAAGCATATGAAGTCATTAGCAAGATCATCTGTTCAACATAATATAAATAAAAGGCATAGTCTAAAACTTAACAAAACCTTTACAAACTCTGCACTCATTAAATATTTTTAAATCGGTTAACAGGATTTTATGCCATTCTCATTACTTTTAGCTGAGTCCTTAAAAACATTTAAATTACTTGCCATCTTTTTGCTTAAGACTGTGTAAAGTTAAAATGGATCACATTTTTTAAAGTCAGAAATTTGTTGTCTCAAATACAAAAACTTTTTTAAAGAGGTAAGAGTATAGTTCTTCCAATGTTACTAACTAAAACACGTCTGACTTATGAGTATTTTAATTGAATTTTTAAAATAATCAAACACCTGCTGCCACGTTAAGCAGATAGCCATCATTAAGTTTAAATAAATAAAATATTAACTTCCTTCCGTCCTGCTTCAGGATGTATGTGAATGCTTTTTTTTTTCCTCTAAAATTTTAAATACTCAAATCTCATCATAGCACTGTTTGCATTTACAAAGATTTGAGTACCCGAGAGTCAAAGGAATATGCTCTGAATCACAAAAAACATACATGGCAAAAAGCCTGATCAAAAAAAAGTAAAAATTAGCTTGAGTCAGATGTCACGTTAGTATCTTAACACTAGCATTCTAAAATTTCACTTCTCCTAGTTGAATACTTGAAAAAAAAGAAAAGAAAATCTGGTAAAATGTCAAAAAATAAAAATCTACAGAAATAAACGTGAAATTTTTTTAAAACAAGACTCATCTGAAGGTCGATGACAACTTTAACTACAAACAGAAAAACAACTTTCTCAGTCTAAGTTCTATTAACTTTATTCTACTCTGTTTTTGTTTCCCAATGTACATATAATTAATCAATCATGAGTAACCAATCTATCATGAAATACATGCTGACCTACAGCTCTAGAAATTTTAGAACATTCCTAATTTTGGCACTTTTAATCTCCATGAAAAATAGGAATACTTCCTAGTGGCTCAGACAATAAGGAATCTGCCTGCAATGCAGGAGACCCGGGTTCAATCCCTGGGTCAGGAAGATCCCCTGGACAAAGGAATGGCTACCCACTCCAGTATTCCTGCCTGGAGAATTCCATGAACAGAGGAGCCCGGCAGGCCCATGAGGTTGCAGAGAGGCAGACAGGACTGAGCAATTAACACTTTTACTTTTTCAGAAGTATTAAGGATCCATGATAAGGACAAGCACCTAAAAACTGTTAATATCCTATAAAAATGCAAATGAGATAGTGAATAATTATAGGCAAAACAAAATAATTTACTTAGAGGTAGCTTATATAGAAATACATGAGAACAATATTTTGTAAATGAATTTTTAAAAACCAAAAATTTTGGAGCTTGAAAATACAAAAAAGTTTTCATTGATAATACAATTGATTGCTTACTAGAAAGCTAAGGGAACAGAAGTCTGGTTTGGTTAATTTATTACTTGACAATCTTCATTAGATTTGGTTTTCTTGGTGAATTAAAAAGAAGCAGAAAGACAAAGGAAAATACTTTAAAAAATGTGTCTGTAGCACGGCAGAAAAAAAAAGATAAGAAATACTGAAAAGTGGCTTGAAATACAAAAATGAACAAGCAGTGGAAAAGTCTCAAAAAATTAAGAAAACTTACTCATCAAATGTTATGCTACATGCTTATTGTTTTGATATTATGAATTTCAAAGCCAGAATCTTATTCTTTCCTTAAAAACAAAATTTAAAAAAACCAAAAAACAAAACACCCCCACCTCCCTACAGTTTCAATGATTCAGTTTTTATGACACCAATATGGTTAAGATGTCACATCCCATAGCATCCATTACTATCAAATATCACATTATTTCATTATTTTGTTGTTGTTCATAGCTATACATGTAAAAATAAAGTAATGCCTTTCAAAGAATTAGGTATTAATAATTATCTTCTTTACATTTTGTGACTACATTTATAAAAAATAATATTGTGTCTGGTGGTGGTGGTTTAGTCACTAAACTGTGTCCAACTCTTGTGACCCTATGAACTGTAGTCTGCCAGGTGCCTGCCTCCACCCATGGTATTTCCCAGGCAAGAATACTAGAGTCTGTTGTTATTTCCTTCTCCAGATATTATGACTACAGGCTTTTTAAAAACACTCTATCTTTACTTTGAAAGTAGCACTGGTTCTAGAATTAGATTTATTCTCATTATTTTCATAAACTCTGTGGTCATGTTCTAAATTTCTGGTCTAACATAAAGTTATTAAAGATTACAAATTAAAAATAACACATGAACTAGGCAAAATGTTTTCCTCAATCTGTCAAGGAAACTCCCAAACATGCTATTTGCAAAAATTGCAAACTATTAACTTTTAAATGTTTCATTTATCTTTTATATTTCTTAAGAATATTAATTTGATGATTTAAATAAGCTAATTTTATTTTAAGGCATAAGAAACTAATTTGATTCATTAATCAGTTTTTATCATAAAACATATTCACAAAACTGAGAGATCAGCAAATACAAATAGGAGAGGGAAAAATTATAAATTTCATACACTGAGAAATATGCAAGAATAAGTAAAGCGTAAATGCTATTTTCTAACCTAGAGAATACAACTAGCAAAACCAAACATTTTAAATAATAAGCTAACAAATATATATACTCTAGTATAACAATATCAGCTATTTTTAAGATTTTTTTCATAATAAAACCTTAGAATTAAATTTCAAAATAGAAACAATGAATTCAAAAATGTTTATACTCCACGAGGAACTGGATTGCAAGCTACTAGTGTTACTTTCTATTCAAATGCTTTGAGATGTTATTCCTTTTAACTGGAGCATGAAATGAAAAATGTCTACATGCAAAAATAAATCCTGGACTTCATATCTAAACTATAATTAAATCAACAAAATGTCATGCTTTAAACAAAATAACTTCTGAACTATACAAAGTTTTCACATTTTAATTGTAATCACTGAAAATGATCAGTATTTCCATTATCTTTTAACTTAAATGCCAAAAACAGGAAGAAAGGCTTGGATGGAAAGCTAATAAGGAACAAAAAACAAATCTGGAAAATAAAAGAAAAAAAGAAAAGGTGAGTGGAAGTGCCTTACCAGTTTTGGGTGTCAAACTCAAATCTGTGTCAGAAGAAGAGGACTGTCGACTGTAGGACTTGGAAGGTGAAAAGGAATAAGTTTGGTTTTTCAGAGGGGTTGAGGGTCCTGATGAGTGAGTATTGGGATTGGGATCTTCATTGAAGGGAATCCTGCCAGAAGAAGGTGGAGAAATATTAAGCAATCATGTGCCAAAGGACCTGACAGAGGCAGCATGATCCAAACACCAGGGAAGGATTGGGGCAGGGCCAGTAGTCATTTCTTAAGTGTGGAGCTGGGTCTGAGGCCAAAGGCATCCAACTGTTGTTTAACCATTCACCACTCTCCAGATAAGTAATTATCTGCATTGAAACAGTTAATAAGCCAAGGGAAAAAGCAAAAAAGCATGAAATGGCAGACTCAAGGGGTAAAAAAATATTAAAAGAAGAAATAAACAAAAAGGATCAATACATGATTAAAAATATTTTCAAACAAACAATGCTTTTTTAAGTTACAAAATAAAAAATGGTGACTGCAAATGGTGTGTGTAAATATTCACAATAGTTTTTATATTTGCACACACAGATATCTTGGGAAAAAAAAACATGTTTCCTTATCCTATAGCATCAAGAGTGCCACAGCTAAAAACACAGCAGAGTGGAAAATGAATATAGCTACACAGAGATATTGCATTTTATGCACAAGAGTCGCTTACCTGTTTTCCAACAGCTCTCTTCCACAGAATGAAACAGACCCTACTGTGACAAGCTTTGTACATAAAGAAAATAAGCAAATTGGAAGCTTTGGCAGCTATTTTATTTTGATTCCAATTATCTATTTTATTTCTAATGCAGAAATAATGGCAAAAATACACACTGGAGGATTCTCCCCAAACTTCCAGTATCTGTACGTATGTGTATATATATGTGCATATATACACACACACACACAAGATAGGGTTCTTAGGGATCTATGGAAGAGACTTTGGAAGCCAGAAGAACACTCTCACTTCCATGTAGCTAGAGCCTCTGCGGCGGCTAAATTCAGGGTTCTTCACGGCCGCCGGACCGGGGTGAGAAAAGCAGGGCGCGAGGACGAGCGGGACCTGCCTGCGCTACCTGCCTGCCTGCCCTCCGCGGCCACTCTGCCCGGGGCCTGCTTCCCCAGCTCTGGAGCCTGAGCAGTCTCGTACCAGTATAGATGAGAGTGGGAACAGACACAGAGAAGTTCTGAGTAAGTCGTGAGCCAGTAGCAGTGTGAATTGGGCTGTTGTGAGTCGAGCGGCATCCATGGCTTGGAGGATGAACCAGCGGAGACCTGAGGGAGTTTGTGGTCAAAGTGGAAGAAAAGAAAACAATACATACAACAGATAGCAAAGTTATGTTAAAATCGTTTCAAACGAGCTTTAGTTAGGGGAGAGGATTATTTTTTTATCCCTAGCATGCACAAAACAAGTTGAGATAAAAAAAGAAGAGCTAGATATTAATTTGTTAGGAATCAGATTAATAAGTTATGACTGTGAATAAGAAAAACAGCAAGCAGAGCTGTCAGTGGAATAAGAAAAAGACTACGATTTGGATTTTCAGTTACTTTAAAATGTCTGTTATTATTTTGATCACCACTGAGCTTACTGAACAGTATTTCAGGAAGAAAATACCCATGAAAATGAAAAGTCAAATATGAAGTTCTTACATGGCCTTTGAAATTGAGATATGAATAATTGCTAATATAATTAATTATATTTTTCTGTAAAGAAAGTTAAACAACAGAACTGTTTCTGTCTAGAATATCAAGACTGGGGTACATAAGAATATGAAAAATGACAGCATAAAGATAAATGAGTGAAATGAATATATATGTATATCCAATCATCCCTATTTCTGCACACCAAATGTCTACCTTAAAACCAGGTTACAATGGGAACAAAACAAAGCAAAGGAACACTGCTTTTAAAAAAGTAAAAATATTAATTAAACAATATAAATGACTCTTCCGTAACTTTCATACAGACAGTATTATTTAAACTTAAACAGAATTTATTTCAACTACATTCTGAATTGAAACTTTGTAGGACATCAACTAATATCTGGCAATAGATCACATCTATGTACATGTAAAGATACATATTTAGACCAGATACACAGGTATACATTCATCTATGACATTTAAAATTTTCACAAAGAAATTTAGCTGAAAGAGCACAGTTTCAGTGGATGCCCAAAAAGAAAGAAAAAAAAAAGCATACTATATAATTAAGAATCCTGGACTTCATATAATCAATTATTTCGCTGTGCAATTCCTTCCCTAATGTACAATGGAGAGAAACAAATAAGTTACTATAGTCTGAAAAGCTCTCATGCTCCCATTTTTCAGAATTCAAATTAAAAGTAGTTCAAGAGCACAACTTTTCCTGGCTTTTCTTCCTTTCCATTGCCCAGTGAACATTCCCAACAGTCACAATTTGTCAAGATTCAAACATGAGTTCTCATTAACTGGCAACAGCGGTCCTTTACAGACCACTACTTTCTGAAAATATCACTGCTTTTACTGTAGGACAAATGTTTCTGCTTTTGTTTCTAACTTAAATTTTTAAGTGTTTAATGAATAAAAATCAAATATCTCATGAGTGACCAATTTCTATACAAGCAACTGAGTGAGGTTTCATTTTTGTTTTTTCTTTCTCTGTTCAAGAGACTAATGGAGTTAAAAAGTCTAAGATCAGCACCATACAGAGGAGAAACTATAACTAAAAGCTCCTAAAAAGTACTTTTTTAAAAAAAGTAGGGAATTGATAAATCATATTTAAATGTACTTTCTACCATTAAGATAGTTCAACTAGGAAGCACCAAAGAGATTTATACTCTGTAATACACCACATATCTAAAATGAAACAAACTGATGGAATAGAACACACGGTTAATAAAAGCAAAATAAAATGAACATTGTTAAATGTTCAAATTATGACATCAAATTAAAATCCAAGCACAGTGGAGGGAGCATCACCTTAATGTATTCTTGGAGCCCTAATTCTTATTGGTCTTATATGAAAGGTTGCCTTACAAGAATACGCTAGTGGTATTTCTTAACATTAAATCCATTCAGACAAGAACATAATCCAAACTACCTTTATCAAATTCCTGTCTAGAATCAACAAAGTTAAAATTAAATAGCAAAGTAATACAATCAGATGACTCATAAAACAATTTTAAACTAGCACCCAAACTAATTCTTTATCAAAAAGACAAAGAAGCTGGTTGAAAGTTTTTTTTTTAAATAACATGACTTAAGTAATAAGATGTCATCAGAAAATCTTAATGAAGCCACTTAAATTCATCATGGTGTGAATATCTGAAAATTTAAGGCAAATGGCTGCAACAAAATTAGAAAAAGGGAAAACTTAGATAAGCTCAAGTTTACTATTAACGGAACTCCCCCTGAATGCAGGCAAAATGTATTTCCCTACTATCCATATACCATTTTAAGACAACAACAGGTACTGCAGCTTTCTTTCCACTAAGTAATTTAGTAAAAAGAGGAAAACTTCAGACATCACAGTTGCAAAGGCCAGGCCCTTTCAGGCAGTACAGATAAAGCAGGAGGGTGGCGGAAGAAGGGACCCAGGTCTTCAAGTAAATTTGCTATGGAAAGAGAAAAAAATCTCAATCCCCCAAAAGGTTATATCTGCCATCTGACTTTATCTATAGCATAAGGTAGTTCACACCTTTTTTAAGACATATTTTAAATGGAATACAAAGCAAATTCACTCAACTTATTTAAAACAATTACACTTATCAATACTTCTAAATAAAATTAGGTAGCATACGGGTAACACTGTGCTCTCTCTTGTGACTAAAATTTAATTCTAATAACTAAAGGTCAGCAGAAAGAAATAATTAAAAAGAATAAGTTGAGACAAAGAGAAAAATTTCACCTTTATAAAGACTGTTTGAAAAAACATTGTGATTGCTTTCTAGGCAACCTCTCTTTACTGCTGAATTAGGAAACATTTTGGGTTTTTTGACTACAGAACCCTGACTCCCTGATGATGAAAGTCAGAGGTCAGCACATTACACAGTACAGACCAAATTCATCTTGCCATTCGTTTTTCAAAAATAAGTAAGGTTTATTGGAACAAAAGACAGACCCATTCATTTGCAAAGTATTGTTGGCTGCTTTCATGCAACAACAGCAAAGTTGAGTCTTTGCTATTCCCATTCTGGTCATTTACCAAAAAAGGTTTTTTGACCTGTGATCTACAAGAATCTCTAGAGCAATGGTTCTCAGTGGAAATACTATCAGCATTTTTAATACAGAACAAGTCTTTGTCGTTGTATAGAGTTGTCCCTTGCTCTGCAGAACAGGCAGCATTTCTGGTCCCCAATAGAATCATCCACGTTACCCCAAATATTACAAGAGAAAATTTTCATTTCAAGTATTCCTTTTTGATAGCACCAGCACCATGTTGAGAATCTCTGCCTTAAGCACAAATGATGACACATAAGCCAAATCAAGCCAACAGAATGTGTTGTTGGATCAGATGGAGTTTTTTTTTAAACAATGTGAGACTCTAACTTCCTTTAGGTCAAAACCAGCAAATTTCTTTTTTTTTTTTTTTGATAAACAAAGATAAAAACTATATGTCCAGTGCATGAAATATTTACTATCTGGTCTTTTACAGAAAAAGTTTGCCAACATCTACTCTATGCAGTCCCAGTATTCACCATTTAATTATACGCAATTATTTTATTTCTATAATTGCTCGACCTCTGTAGACACTGAAGTTTAAGACCACTGAACAGGTCAGTCTTCCCTGCTTTCTATACTATGTTGCTAATAATATGCATAATTGGATTATTAGGTATGGGGTATTAAGCATTTCCCATACAACAAGTAAAATTCCCCACAATGCATAAATGTTCATTTTATGCTTTAGGTACACAGTGCCTAAAGATGTAGAACAAGTTTAATTATACATTACTTAATATGAATTCCACAAGACAGTATAAAAAATACTAGGAAGACCTAAGTTTCAAATTTTGAGTCATCTCTGATAGTAAAATTGCCACAGGAAAAAATGTATTTTGAACCACTCTACTAAAATGTTTCAAATTAAATGAAAACATGTACGCAAAAGATAAAAAGCTCCATAAGAACACTTCACCAACTCATACTTACTCCTTCATCTCTCTGGACGGGGAGTTGCAGGCAGGAAGGAGCGTCGCTGGGCTACTTAATTTATCCAGCGTGCACGCTGTTCCTATGGCGCGCACCACCAACCCAGACTCGCCTTCCAGGTCAAAGCACTGCAAGTACCCAACTACCGCATTGCCTCTCATCTCAAGGACTTTCAGGCCAATCTTCCTCTGCAGTTCGCCTGCAAAAACGGGAAGAAAATTCAGCAGCTTTTCATCTGTATGTTTCAAAATACAAAGCTGGGTATGGTGGTGATTCAAAAGGGTCCAGAAAAATTACAGATTTTGAGAACTTGAAGGGAATCTAGAAGATTACCCGGTACCTACTCCTATAGTCAAGGAGGTAAGATATTATTAGCTACATTTTCCAGACGTGCTAAGTAAGGTTCACTCATTCATGCATTCATTTACTAAATAATTTCTAGCTGTATACTGTGTGCCTGGCTTTCTTTTTTTCTGTGCTAGAGATACAGAGTGGAACAAGAAAGATAAAGCCCTAAAACTAGTGGCATTTACATACTGGGGGGAGAAACAGATAAAAAACAAGTAAACAAGTATTACATATAATATAAATAAAATACATAGAATATACAGCACATGATACACTTTAATATATTATAAATATAATAAATTATATATGATTTCTTAATATGTAGACTAAATAAAACACATTAAATTAATATATTAACAGTAATATATTAAATATTATGCATATGCATACAAACATTAAATATTTGTAAATATTTAAAATTTTATCAATTATATTAAAATTTTATAAATATTAAGTACATGTTAATATATTTAATATATTAATAACTACAAATATATCTATATTTCTATTTAAATATGCAAATTTATTATAAACACATTTACATTTATTAAATACGAATGTAAGATATGTATTATCTGATATATACGAGAATGAATGTATGTGTGTGTGTGTGCACACGCACATACATATAAATACAAACTTTAGATGGAAATAAGTTCTTCAAAGGAAAACAAAGTAATGGGGTAAGGGTGGCAGGGGAATAGGGCCTAAAAGGAGGTATAAATTGTCAGAGAAGGACTATGAAAAGACATTTAAACAAAAAGCCTAGGGGCTTTCCTGGTGGCTCAGCAGTAAAGAATCTGCCCACAATACAGGAAAAATGATCTATTACGCAGGAGACCTGGGTTCAATCCCTGGGTTGGAAGATCCCCTGGAGGAGGGTATGGCAACCCACTCCAGTGTTCTTGCCAGGATAATGCCATGGACAGAGGAGCCAGGTGGGCTGCAGTTCATGGGCTGGCAAAGAGTCAGACACGACTGAGGTGACTGAGCAGGCAGGCAAACAAAAAGCCTCAGAGAGATCACCTAAGCTCTGGCTACAAATAAACACTCAAAGGAGGAAAACTACTTCCCACTATTCCACTTCATAAGCACAAGTTCCTTCGACCACCTAGATAAAAAGGAACCATAAGCTTCTGATTCAGATTTCTTCCTGTTATAAGACAACAATGCACACGTGTTTAGCAGAAAGGGGCCAAGGATAAGGAAACAGTGAGTTACAATTCAGAGCCTTCATTGTAAAGTTTTAGTAACATGTCAAAAGGAAGTGAAGAATTTTGGAGGATTAAGTCAATCAGTCATGAAGTTATTATTAGTATTTTTCAAATACCTGACATTAAAGAAATGAGCCTCTGTCTGGCCTCATTTGATGCCCTTGGCGTGCGAATTCGATCAATCCATTGATACTCTGGGTCTTCATTGACCACAAGTTCTTCTACAAATCCATGAATTATTACAGCTCTATAGCACTTTGGAATAGATGTTGCTGTTAAAGAAAATTATTTATTATGTTCTGTTTATCACAAAGTTAAATTCAACCCTTTAAAAATGTACAACTAGTTCTTACCTTGTGGATACATACTACAAGAACATCTTTTATTGTGATAACCTCAGTGGAATCATAATAATACTTCCAATCAAACAGTCTTCTATTGCTTCTAATGATTATTCTTAGAAACAATCATTTTCTTTCATGAGACTTCTCACCTTTCTCATATAAGCATAGTAGATACAAACTGTATTTTTATAATATACAAAATAGATACACACCATCTTAAATAGTATTCAATACAAAATATAAAAAAGTCAAAATTAAACTAAGCTAAGTAGGTGTTATATAAAAAATCAGAAAGCAGATAACGAATGCCAAAAACCTCTAATTACTGGAAGTCCTTTTAAGAAGTTCTGAACACCTCATAATGCAGCCTCAAAAATCAAACCATTACCTTTCTGATTTAATCTGAGAAGTCCTACAGGTTTGTAGTTCCTAATAATCCATGACTCCATGGCCAACTGGTTCAGTAGTCATCTCACTACTCAACAGACTCATTCAAAACTGAGAACAACAAAGCTCACTGGATTTATCAAAAAGGGGAGAATTCGAGAATTCACACTTTCTCAACCAATAAAAAAAATTCTATTAATATCAACATCTGGGAAACAAATCTGATGTGTGGCATATTTACACTTAATTCATATGGGCTATTCAAAATCAGATAATACTGATATGGAGCCATTTGTGGTGGAGTCATTAGTTTCAAGCCATTCATGTACATTGAAACTAACTCAACTATTTAGGAGTTTTCAACCCTGTTAGCTCAGGCTGGCTATGAACTGCCCAGAACTGCTTAATTGCAACCCCATATTTCATGGCATTTGCAGGGCTCCATACCTGTAGATGCTTATGTCGTTCTGGATAGTAGCACGGTACTCCGCTCCTATCTTTCAGCATCCTATACCAGCATAAAATGCCACTGCATTTTTCTTTTTTGTGACAGTTATTCAAAGCTTAATTATAGTCGGATCTTTCACATTTGACAAAAATAACTTGTTCTAATTTATGAAAAAATGTAATAGGCAGTAAAATATTAATTTTTATAAAATAAGACAAATATGTGAAAATTAAGATTTTGTTTACTGGTACAAGAGTAAAACTTAAACTAGATGAGCAGCTTGCAATCTTCTCTATAAGTTAGTGTCCAATAATTATGCTTTTTAAATAATTTTGCTTTTTAAAGCCATCTGAGACTTCTGCAAGATATACATGTCCATCCACCACAAATGGTTCCACATCTATATTGTCTGATTTTGAACAACCCATTTGAATTAGGTCTGAATATTCCACACATGTAGCCTCATCAAAATGTTTCCCAAATGTAGATATTAATCGATTTGTCTTCATTGATTAAGAAAGTGCAACAAGTTCTCTCCACTCGAGTTGTCTCTGACCACTGACTACCTGCTGACATCAAGGTAGTGTAGGCTATGTTCAAATACAGTGTATCAGCTGTTTTATATCACAATGTTTTATATTACACATGGGCTCACACCTAGTTTAAGAATGCACTCATTTTCTTTCAACATGTAGCCTTGATGAACTGTGGGCTCATTCTCTATATATCAGTTTGGGTTTATTCCCTTAATTATTACGTTTTGAGTTAAGACTGTACCAAATGCTAGCACACTTTGCATTCCTGTAACTAATTTCTCTAAGGCTGAATTAATTTGTTGCACTGCAGGAAAAAACTTTTCACCTTTATCTTCAATCTTGTTTCCAGTCATTCTTAGATATTTCTTATGTAGTGTTTTACCAATCAATTCTCCACCTCAAACCCAGTATCACTAAACATAAGGTTTAAGTAAATATCCTCTCATTAACATATGGATTCTTCTTTAAAAATTCTGAAAAAGATTCAAAAATCTTCACCTGTTACTCTTTCTAATGGTGTTAAGTGACTGTAACCAGCGGTAATTAATGTGATTCCCTCTATTCATGCTCTGTGGGCCTGGGCGGAGGCTGGCATAGAGTCTAGAGAAGTCAGAGAGCGGGGGAACAGCCAAAGGCAGCCTCCCCATGGGCCACTGCGACATCGTCACGACAGCCACATGCACAGAAATGCCCCACTGGATTTTTCTGGAAAAAACTTTCTATGAACTTGTGAAAAATTGGCTATCATCTACTTTAAAATCAGATCTAAGTTTCCAGAGCTACAGCAATTAGTTTTGAAAAACTAGCAATTTTCTCTTTGACATTAAGACCAAAGTATGATAGGTTTTCTGTTAGCCTTCTGAAATATTAATTTGATTTCTAATGTTTAACATATTTATTAATATTTTCATATTTATTAATATAAACATGTATAAGTTAACAAAATTTTCTCATATTTATTAATAAACTTATTAAATGTCCTGTCAAATGAGTAATAAAATATATTTACTTACTGCAAAAGAATTTGACTCCACATGATGACTGCCTGAATCGATTTAAATCATTGAAGAGGTCTACTTTGACAACTACATTGATTTCCCCACGGATACCTGTAATTTCAAAAGGAAAATCAAGTTTCCTCCTTTAGAAAATAAAGCATAATTAAATAATCAGCAAATAAATGCCAATTAATGATTTTGAAATAATGTATCAATCATAATAGCAATGCTAATCTTGTTTCCTAATTATTTTTATTCTACAGACGCTCTATTTAAGTAAATACTGTTCCCAACTTATTTTACCATTTTAAATATCAGTAAAAATACAGAATATGAATAATGTCACAATACACACAAATCTCATCAAACATCTTACCTTCTTATATTAAACTACTATCAATGGAATTGCCAGGTCAAAAATGTAACATAGGCAGAAAAGTGCAAGACTGTAGGCAGAAGCATCTGCCAGTTTCTTATGAGTCCACCTGCCCTTTTAAAGACATGCCATTATTTTTAGGTTAGTGGTTCTCAACTTTTTGCCACTAGGCCCCTCTAGTCTCAAAAATTATTGAGGATCTCAAAGAGTCTTTGTCTAGGTGGGGCAAAACCTATCTTCAATATTTACCATGTTACAAATTTAAACTGAGAATTCAGAAAAATATTTACCTATTACTTCATTTAAACTAACAGGAAATCCATTTATGTCAAAATAAATATTTTTGTAAAAATAACTATATTTTGAAAAACAAAAAAATGTTTAATGATAAGAGTGTCACTACATTTTTTCGAATCTCTATAGTGTGTAACTTAATGAAATATTTAGATTCTCATTTCTGCTCTGCATTCAGCGTGTGGTAACATATTATCATAAGACCTCTAGAAAGCTCCACTGTAACTTCGTAAGAAAATAAGGCTAAAAATGGCAAATGGCATACATATGAGTGTCATGCCGAAAACAGTTTTCATCTCACTTCTCGTGGCCTGTGAAAGTATCTCGGGGACACACAGATGTCCCCAGACCAGACTTTGAGAACTTTAGGTAACAAAAAGCCTTTGAACACTTTTCTTCCTTTAAAGAATTTTTAAGCAGAAAAGTTTCAAAATCATTCATTTTAAAGTATGCTTTAGGGGACTTCCCTGATGGCCCAGTGGCTAAGACTCCGAGCTCCCAATGCAGGGGCTCTGGGTTCGATCCCTGCTCAGGGAACCAGATCCCATGTGCCACAACTAAGACTTCACACTGAAGATCCCGCATGCTGCAGCTAAGACCTGGTACAACCAAATAAATAAATATTAAAAAATAAATAAATAAAGTATGCTTTAGAAACAGAGAACTAATATTAGACGATTTTCAAAATGATGTATTTGCTTACTATACTGCACAAATGCAGCAAGCATTATTCCAAATTATGTTCAGAAAAGTTACAATTTTACCAACAATACTTACTACCACATGTCTATTAAAACAAAAGCCATATTTTTTAAAAAACCAAGTTTAGCACAAAAGTCTTTAAGATAAATTAAAAAATTGTGAGGACTTCCCTGGTGGTCCAGTGATTAAGTATAGGTCTGCCAATGCTGGAGACACGGGTTCAAATCCCTGGTCCAGGAAGATCCCATATGACACCCGGGGCAAGTCCGTGCACAACTGCTGAGCCTGAGCTCTGGAACCCGTGAGCCACAACTACTGAAGCCCGGGCACCTGGAGCCCACGCTCCACAACAGAGCAGCTCTCGCTCACCTCAGCTAGAGAAAAGCCCACGCAGCAACAAAGACCCAGCACGACCAAAAATAATTTTGAAGAATTAATTTTTTAAAAAAGGTTGTGACTTAATTTCTTAAAATGTACTGCTTACCATGAATGGTATCATAAATTGGAAACCATCCTGAGATGACAGTTGCAGCCTCACTGTACAGTAAAGGATCAATGTCAATGTACACTTTACCAATGGCATCATTTGCACTATATGTATCATGGTCAAGAACTGTGATCTGGAGAGGTTCATCTTGTAAATCTTCATCATCCACCTAAAAAAGGATACTTTAAAAGTTTAGTCTTATAATAAAAATATTTAAAAAATCTAATAATAAAAATCTTCATTACCATAAATGTATGCATAATGTAGAAGATTACTTATCTCTGGGAAAAAAAAATCTTACAGATTTATCTCTAAGTAAAGGTAGAGAGACTTGTCATCAGAGAAATGCAAAAGAAAACCAGTGAGATACCACCTCACATTTACATTCTTTGTGTTAAAATTGTCATCAAGTCTGGTGAAATCTACCTCCAAAATCTAAATATCTTCCTCTGGTGGTTAAAATATGAGACAGTTCAAAGTAAAAGAATGCAAATGAGCCTTAGCCATAAGAAATCAAACTCACCTCATTCATAATAAAAATGCACATTAAAATTATATTGTGAAAACCACTTCAGACCTACTAGGATGACTGACATTTTTAAAATAAATAAATATTGACAAGAATATGGAAAAACTGAAACTCTCAAGACATGCTGGTGGGAATGCAAAATGGTGCAACCACTGTGGAAAAGTTTGGCAGTTCCTTAAAAAGCTAAACACAAAAATAACCATAAGCCACTCCACTTCTAGGTATATACCCAAAAGAACTGAAAACAAAGATTCAAACAGATCCTTGTATGCCGGTGTTCACTAGTGTGGCATTAGTCACAACAGCCGAAAGGCAGAAACAAATCCAAGTGTTCAAAAACAGATGAAGAGAATAAACAAAATACGGTATGTTCGTTAAGATAGAATATTATTCAGCCATAAAAAGAAATTTGGATACACACTGCACAACACAGATGAACCCTGAAAACATCATGTTAAGTGAAAAAAACCACACACAAGGGGACAAATACTTATGATTCCACTTATATGAAATATTTACAAAGGCAAATTCAGAGACAGAAAGTAGATGAGAGGTTATAAGCGGTAGGGGAGAGGAGGGCATAGGGAGTTGGTGCTGAATGAGTAGTTTCTCTGAAGTGACCATAGAGTTTTGGAAATAGTGGTGATGCTTGCATATCACTGTACGCAGGTAAATGCAATTAATGTTGTTGTACTGTACACTTAAAAATGGTTAAAATGGTAATCTTTATGTTTTTACAAAATTCAAAAACTTTTCATCTGTACACAGTTCTTAAGTGATTTTTGGTATATGCTAAAATCCAAAGGAAAATTATTACATAATAATATAATATCTTTTTAATCTGGGCTCTCCTATTCATACACCATTTTTCTAAACTGTAACATAATTTTTTTGAAAATTCAGTATTCCTAGGACTTCCCAGCTGGTACTAGTGGTAAAGAATATGCCTGCCGATGCAGGAGATGCAGGTTTGATCCCTGGGTTGAGAAGATGCCCTGGAAGATGAACCCATTCCAGTATTCTTGCCTGGAGAATCCCATGGGCAGAGGCTAATGGGGCTGAAAAGAGACACAATTGAGAGACTGAGCACACACATAGGAAATATTTTCCCGGTGTAGAAAAACTACAATACCTGAAATAAAAGGTAGTACGATCATTCCTGGGGAGGGGAATGGGTCATCTCAAAGATACACACACAAAAAATGCTGACATTTAAAAACTTACCTCAAATTTAAACCACTCTGAGTTCCACTGCGGGTTGAGGGACTTGAGATACACATCTGTTTTAAAGGTGGTATTACCAAATTTTACCTAAAAACAAATGAGAAACAATTCAAATATACAGATCAAAAATGTGAATAAAAATAAAATTTAACATCAGCTAAGCAATGGGAAGATTAACCATGCAGAGGGAAAAAGACAATTATCCCTGAGATGAAAGGGGAGAAAACAGGACAGGTCCAGGTAAGTTGATAGATTATACTGGGAACAAGGGAACAAAGGCTCACCCACTGTTCTGTTTGACTAGCTCTACCGATCCCCGGGTCAGGAAGATCCCCTGGAGAAGGACATGGCAACCCACTCCAGTATTCTTGCCTGGAGAATCCCCAAGGATAGAGGAGCCTGGCGGGATACAGTCCATGGGGTCACACAGAGTCGGACACGACTGAGCGATGAAGCACAGCACGGCACGGAGAGATTAAAATCAGACCATTATGTCAGTGTGAGGGCTTCCCTGGAGGCTCAGTCTGTAAAGATCCACCTGCAATGCAGGAGACCCAAGTTCAATGCCGAGTCGGTAAGATCCCATGGAGAAGGAAATGGCAACCCACTCTACTATTCTTGCCTGGAAAATCCCACGGACAGAGGAGCCTGGTGGGCTACAGTCCATGAGGTCACAAGTGTGGGATACGACTTAGTGGCTAATCCACCACCAAGTCCGTATGGAGGAAGTACCCAACACAGCCTTCACTGAACAGGAGCTTAAACAAAAGAGGAAAGTCTTAAGGGTGGAGTACCAGCAAAACAAAAGTAGAAGGTAAAAAGGACAACTGTCTTACCAGCTCATCAAGGGAACCCAGAACTACAGCCTATTATTACAAGAACTTAGTAACATACACTCCTCTATTTTCTGACTTCCTCATATTTGTTATTTTTAAAAATCTTTACTTGTGTATACACAGTGATCAGCAATAAACCATGGTCATTAAGGTTTTATGTTCCTACGTTCGGGGACAATAAAAGGGGTTGGATGGGGAGTCTATCGGGTTTCACAGTCAGTCTTGGTGAGCACTAAACCAAAAAGAAAAAGTAAGAAGGAAATGAAGATGGAAAGCAGGCTAAATCCCTGGGACGCTTCTAACAAAGAATGGAGATTGTGAAACCTCAGACTGGACTTGAGAAGCAGTCAGGAAGCTTAAGAGCAAAACAGATAAGAAACTACTTCCTAGATTGTCTCATCTTTCCTAAATTTGATCTTGCCAAGCTCTTTCCCAATTCTATCAGTTTTCACCAGTATGTATCACCCACCCTCAAAATTCACTAAAGGTTTATCCCAATACCCAGTAAAGAATTTTGCACATTGTAGATACTTAGAAAATGCTGGTTCAGTCAGATCACCCATGAAATCTTTCCTTCCTGACTTACAATCCTACTTTTAGTATTATAATACTGGCAGATATTAATGTTTAATCAGTCCAGAAAATATTCTAAAAGCAAAATACTCAAAACTATTTAATGTTTAATCAGTCCAGAAAATATTCTAAAAGCAAAATACCCAAAACTATAGTCATTATCTTCTGTACATTTTATCACACAATTTGAATTATCAGAGATGATACCCACCATTTTGTACCTAGGCAGTTGCGTCAGAGGGTAGAAAAAGTTTAAGAAATTACACAAAAATAGTTAAGTTTTTGCATGGTGTGTGTGCTTAGCTGCTCACTCGTGTCTCACGCTTTGTGATCCCATGAACTGTAGGCAGCCAGGCTCCACTGTTCATGGAATTTTTCCAGGCAAGAATACTGAAATGGGTTGCCATTTCCTATTCCATCAGGCATGGTAAGGACTATAATAAATAAGAAACTGAGAAAAAGGATTTGCCAAATATGTCACAAACAGCTAGTTTCCTTGATTTCTAACAAGTTCCTACAGAGCAGTAAGAAAAAGATCAATAAACCAACTGAAAATCGGAAATTCAAAGAAATGGAAATGCAGATGAGAACTTTTTAATATATCAAAAGATTAAAACAAACTAAACCAACATGTTGACTACTTAGGTTGACAGAGGTCAAGAAGTCTGAAAAAGCAGTGTGAGTGTTTCATGGTCATACTCTTGCTGTGAGTGCAAATTTGAACAATCTTCACAAAGTGCAGTCTGACAACGTTTATCAAAACGTTAAATGCCCATACCCTTTACATTCATACAGAGATGCACAATGACATATACAAGCAGCATTATAGTGGCAAATGATTGGAAGTAACCTAGATGTCCATCAATTGGGAACTGGCTAAATCAAGTATGGGAAAGCTGCACGATGCAGTGCTAAACAGAAAAATGAAGCCGTTCTCCAAACACTAGTGCAGAACAATGTCTAAGGGCCTAGGTGTGATCCCTGGTCAGGGAACTAAGATCCCACATACCACAACTAAGACCATGTGCTACAAGCAGAGAAGTCTGTGTGCTGAACCAAAGAGCCCAGTGCAGCCAAAATAAATTGAATTTAAAAATTTTTAAAAAAAGGAATCATATCTAAGATACATCTCTACTGCAGGACGGTGAGTACAGCATTCTTTGTGGAGGAAAAAAATGACAAATCATAAGGCATATGACATATGCCTATATGTGCACAGATTATTCCTGGAAGGATATACAACAAATATTAACAGAGGCCACTGAAAAAACAAAACAGATCAGTTGAAGGAGAGGCAATGAGAGGATGACTCGTTTTGTACCTGTTGAATTTTGACATGCATGTATATTACCTATTTCTTGAATGGGCTATTTTAAAAGTCAAAAACATCAAAAATTAAAATAAATTCAAATGGCAAAAACTTTGTTTAAATTCAAATTATAGAACTCTGGATTCACTTCCAGGAATTTATCCTAAAGAAGTACTTTCACATGTGGCCCCTCTCCCCAAAAATATACAAAAGCCTAGTGACAACAAGAAAGTGACTGAATCACACACTCCCTACTAAAGAATGGAGTTGACTATATACGCTGTGAGGGGAATATGTCCATGGCATAATAACTGGAAAAAACAAGAAATATATGATATGTAAAAGTTGCTTTTTTTAGAGGCAGGAGTTGACAGGTACATGCCAAAAATGGGACAGCAATGATCTCTGAAGAAGGAACTGATAAGGGACCAGATAACACAGGACAGTGTTGTAAGAAGTAAGGGGCTTTCAAGTTTACTTCTGAGTATTTGAATCTTTTGTAACAGGAGTTATTCATGCTCAGCTGGCTCTCAGTACCGAGGTATTGGTTCCAGGACTCCTCCCTACCCCTCGCCCAACCCACAGAGAGCCAAATTTGTGGATGCTCAAGTCCCTTATATAAAATGGTACAGTATTTGCACAGAAATTCCTGTACAGGAAATATGCACAATTTCCTGTACACTTTAAATCATCTCTAGGTTACCTTTAGTACCTAATACAATGTAAATGCTATATGCATGCGTGTCAAGTCACTTCAGCAGTGTCCAACTCTTTGCAACCCTATGGACTATGGCCCACCAGGCTCCCCTGTCCAAGGAATTCTCCAGGCAAGAATACTGGAGTGGGTTGCCACTTCCTTCTCTAAAATGCTATGTAAATAGTTGTAAATACAACATGTGCGTGTGTGCTAAGTCACTTCAGTCCTGTCTCTTTGTGACCCTACGGACTGTAGCCCACCAGGCTCCTCTGTCCATGGGATTCTCAAGGCAAGACTACTGGGTTGCCATTCCCTTCACTAGCGGATCTTCCCAACCCAGGGATTCAACCCCAACCTTGTCTCAAGTCTCCTGCATTGGCAGGTAGGTTCTTTACCGCTAATGCCACCTGGGAAGCCCATACTATGTAAATAGCTGCCACACACAAAAAATTCAAGTGTTGCTTTTTGGAACTTTCTGGAATTTTTTTTTTTCCAAATATTTTCTACCTGCAGTTGGTTGAATCCACGGAAGCAGACTCCAGGGGTGTGAAGGGCCAACTGTATTACTGTGTAACTATCTTTTTACCTTTAAATCACAAATGTAAAAGAAATGAAATGATGAAAAAGACCCCTCAGAAGAAACCTGCTCGCTACTTCTTCAATGTTTATTACATTTCAACATTCAAAACATGAAAGAAATATTTATTTTTTAATTTACCTAAAAACTACTTTATTTGAAGTAAAATATCATTAGGATTCATAATACCATTCAACACCATTCGAAAGCCAAATGTACTTAAGGGTTTTGGCTCAACTGCCAAAAACCAGCATATCATTCCCTAAGTAATGATTTTTCCACCCTCTTAAGTTCTGTCCCACTACAGTGTTGTGCTATAATGTGCCTTTCTTTGAGGAGGGGGAGGTCAACTGCTAATTCCATCTACAGTAAAAATCTAACAGTCCCCATACTACTCTAAACCAACAAAAGATTTTAGAAGAAGAAAAAGGCTAGAGCGGGTACTCTGCCAACATTGCGGTGATTCCCAACCTACTAAAGAAGAATCAGAGTTCATTTGGTCTTATTTAATTCAAAGGAGATTTTATTACTCAGCAATTAAATGAATGCCTCACCATTTACCTAAAGAACATAAGGGATTTTAATGAGATTCCCTGGTAAGGTAAAGGCATTCTCTTTTCCCACTCATTAGCTAAATTACCTTGAGAAAGTTATTTAACCTGTTATTTAAAGCTGCTTCCTCCTCTGAAAAGAGGAGTTGCTGTAAGCATTAATCAGGATAATACATGTAGAGACCTAGCAAAATGTCTGGTAGAAGATGCTCATTAAATATTAATTTCTTTTCCTCTCCCAGTTCCTTCAAAGGCTCCTGGGTAAACACAAAATGATAATGTAGTTTAGCACAACAGTTTGTAACATGCACATTAATATATTTTGATTAATAATTCCCTTGTACAGAATCCCATCCCATTCATCCTGGAGATTCCCATGTAATAGTCATCTTTAAGTACTACTTGGTCTTCACTGGCTTCCTGAAAGCCTCATATCATATATAACAGAAATTCCCTTAACCAATACAACCAGGACCAATATCTGAGTAGTCAAATAATTTGGTTAGATCAGATAATCATTAAAAATGATACAAGCAGTAAACAT